TATATCCTAGCCTAACTTATTGGCATTTTATACAAACAACAAATTGATGGAATTAGATTCGAAAGATTACTTTGTCTGCAATCCTTTGATTATATATATTAATTGTGATTACTGCGCGTTGAACCGCGGCTCGGCTGTTGACATGCGCAGCTAGCGTGTGATGCTACGGACCACATAATGTATAATGTATTTTTAATAAGAAGATCCAACTTTAATCAGTATAAGAAGACTAAAGATACGACACGTTCAGCCTGATGGGAAACTGATATATACAAGGACGCACTGTCGGTAGATACGTAATTAATGTTATGTGTACTGTGTACTTTATGACTAGCTAGATATAGGAGCTATTGGTAATTTTAGTGTTTGCCGACTGTATACGTTATTACAATATTAGGCATGTACCACTTATAAACAGTAAAGCCTATTGAGATTCATCATACAAATATGTTAAGCTGAACGTTCAATCGATGTTAGATAGTAATATTTCATCTAGTATTTTTAGTTCAGTCATATGTTGCGCTTGAATTGATTTTGTACATTTTTGTGAGGTGTAGTATGAAGTTTGTATTATGAAGTATATTGATGTTAGTTGTTGCAGTATAACATCTCAATGTATAACTTAGATGTTGAATATTATGTGTGTATGCAGTAAGTTGTGTTTCCTAACAGATTTTTACAATAACCATGCTTGTACTGTAACATAAGTGTAAGGAAGGTGGTATGTGCCTCGTGACAATATCTGCGCTCATTGTAAATCACAAAGAAACATCGAAGTTTTGATACCTATTTTATATATGTATTAGTGGAGACAGTCAATAGTGATACTAGCTAACCAGTTCCATCACCAAGATCATGTGACAGTAGCTAATGTACGTAGTTATAGTGTTTAACCAGACCAATGCAGCGTGCCAAGCGCGCTTAGTAAATTAGAATTGGTTTTTCATAAGAGGAAAAATGATAAAATAGTATATAGTTTATGAAAAATGAATTTATTGTAAGTTAGCACAAAGATTTAATATATTTTATTATCACATAGGAGTTTTACTGATATACTAAATTTACATTGATCGCATAAAATGCGGGATGGAGATGAACCTGCCAACGTGGCTGCAGTGAGCTTGTAAGGTGTAACTAAAGTACTATTTGTTGTTTCATTTGTATCGGGGCCGGTCGGAGGCGTGTCTTTGGCCAAACACTAATGTTCGCTAATTGACGAGTACGAGTGGAAATATATACTGCACATAATTGTTAGTTGATCGTAAAATCACATTTTCTATTAATGTAGGGTTATTATTAATTTATCTTCCGCCTTTTGTTTCTAATTATAATATTCTTCACTCTCACTACTCGTTCTTGTCACTTGCACACTTGATGTGGAGATAATGGGCGCCAAAAGACCGGCTTCTAACTTATGCAAAGTTTAAAACTTGAAGGCCTAGCGAAATTATTGTGTATTTTGTTATGTTTCGTATTGTAGGTATTGTTTCAACACTAAACGCGTGAAATATATAAAGTTCACGTATTTAAATTAATTTCCCGAACCTGTGCCTCAATAACAAAAGCTACGCTATATTGAAAATGTCCTTTTGAAGCTTTGTAGTTTGTTTATTATAACGCTAGTACAAAACACACTGATTCGACAGGGATATACCTAGGTATATGTAAGTGAAACCGAAGACTGTTTAAAGTTTGTAGAAATATTTTCAACACAAAGAAATAACTTGTCATGATCACTTCTCGAGGAACCGATACACAACGAATAACATCAGTGATCAGATCAGTGTTATTCCAATTTGGTACAACTTACCAAAATCGTCTAGTACCTAATTACTATTAAGTTGTACATTTTGTTAAGGCTCGTCTCTCGTAAGTTTAAGACGTTGAAGCACTTTGTAAATACTTTGAATGTTATTCCATTCCTCATTGTTTTCGTTCGGTTGTAGCCGACGTCTAAATTTACATTCTTCAAACTTTAATAACTATTAATGAATTGATGTCAGATATAAATGTGCACTACAATATGACAATGTGTTTTGAAAGAGAATTATTATAATTATGTGTTTATATAAGTGTGGTAATATGTTATGGTGTTGTGATATGATTCGCATCTCTTAACTTATATTTAAATGTTCAGCAAAGAAAGGGTCGAAGAGACACCAATGTTGAAACTTTTGCCTCCATATATTCATTTTCTACATAAAACTAACCGTATTATCCACCAGCCTGCAAGCTATGTAAATAAAATAATATTTAGCGAATTACAAAATACTTTTAGTTATCCAGAAATGTAACATATGCTGTCTCCTCCACCCTAAATGCGAATAATGTACATACATTCAATTATAAATGTAATCGCGTAAACGTGAACTAACATCACTATAAATACCCACACCGATAAAACTAATTTAATTCTATTAAATGTAAACAAAGTATATTAAATATAAGCTTATCTTTGATCAATCAGAAAAAGAATATTTTTATTGTGACATGACTAAAATCGTTTGTTTGAAGAAAAGGAAAGAAAAGTAGCATAATAGTAAATTATTATCTACCTAACTAAAATATTTTAATTTTGTTTTTTCGTGCACATTGTTTGACTTTGTGTGATTTTAATACACATTGTCTGTCTATCATATGATTTGACGGATCGTCGCGTCGGTACTGCGGGTTGATTCACATCTGATAGAAAATCCGTATTGTAACGCCAGAACAAACATTCAACCTTTTAAACCTAACCGATGATACATTAGTGCATCGAATGTACATCGATAACAAGCTCGAGGCATTTTACTTGTCTTTTTTTTACTTTTTTTAATCCTTTTTCGATGCTAGAGTGATATTTCGCTGCGAAATGTACATCAAAGTAAAACTTTAAGAGTCGTTTTTCCATTAGATGTGAACCAACCCTAATGAATGAATATAAATTTAAATTATAAAAAATACTAAACATCACCAACTGAGAATCTTATTGCTGATGAGTCGTTAGTGCATCTTTAAGCCAATAATAACTTTCGAACATGTACATAACAATCATAGAACAAAAATAATTTCATTGTTTCATAGCCATTGCATTTTTTAACTTTTTTTTTACAATAATTACTCATTTGATTCTATTATTTTCTATATATGCAGAAGTCTAAATGAGTTACAGTAAACAGTGGCTTTATAAAAATTTCAAACAAAAACTACATTAAGATATTTTAAACATAAGAAACATTACTGTTCTCATGAAAATGTGTACATGTATGTAGTTATTATTTGTAGTTGATGTCTAACGACGAAAACAAGATATTTAAAGTATAAGTAAAGTGTTAAACGATTTTAATAAATTAACCATAAATTCAATGTTTTGTATTATATTTTGTTCAATCATCATGAATGTATATTGTATACTTTATTAAAATTCAATAATTATAAAATATAAATGTTAAAATTAATACATATTAGATAGAATGATTTTAATATTGATAACATGATTTCTTTTAGGAATAATTGTTAAATTTTTAAAATATATATATGTTTATATAAAAGTACCAATGTCCATGTCAAGATTTTGTTGCTAAAATAAATCATTGTTATGTAAATACAGCATTGTCATTGGTTGGAACATTTTAATACATGACACCATTTTATTTTTATTACGACTAGGTTGTTCTGTTAATTATTGTTTTTATTTTCTAAAATATTTTTTATTGATGTACGATAAAATACATATTAGCTATATTAAGCATATCTAGTTGTAAGCGAAGATATCCATGTTGTTGATTAGTCTTTTATGGATGTTGATTTACACCATTTGCTATGCAGTGATAATAAATGGTACGATAGTAGCCGATATTTTCTTTACAACCGTAAACATAAACATATGTATATACTTATATCTACTATAAAAAATAAGTCGGGTTTTCCCTCATTTTTTTTATGAGGGGAAAATCATCAAATGACTTCTCCCGCCCAGGAGTGTCAGACTCTTACTGACTAAAAACCCCCCTGTTCCTTCTCCTGCTCTGGGCCGAGGTCGCGGTGCCTCATTGCGCTTACCCCGTAACCCCGGCTGAACATCAGCCCTATAGGGCCTCGTCTGTGGTGGTCTATTGGCTCTTTCGGCCCCATAGTGAACAAAATCGGATTTTAATTAAGGGTCGCTTTGTCAACTGTTCCTTTTCATTTAGATGAATAAAGAAAATTATTGAGGCACGCGCGGAACGCTACGCGCCGTACGCTTGGGCCTGGTTCTGGTCGGGCGGCGAGCTCTGCCCTTACTCGCCGACCGAAGACCCGCGCTTACGGTGGCCGGAGATCATCTCTCGATCCCCGACGCCCGGAATGTCGCCTATTGCGGCGGCCGGGGCGTGAGGAGGAGGATTGCTCCCTCACGCGGGCCGCCTCCTAAACAGGAACCTACCGAAGGTGCCGTGCCCGGTAAGCACCTGCGTCAGGCGGAAGGTGAGGACGCCGTGGCGTCTCTCAAGCCACTCCTCAAAGAGGGGTCTTACCGCTGCTGCCGCCGCTGGGCTAATAGCGTGCCCGGCCCTCGGTTGCGACAATCGTTGTTTCCACTCTGCCATGAGATCTCGCCGGAGCTGAGAATTTGGGCTTTCCCTCCTGACGCTATAACTCCAGAACACACTAACCGATTGCCACGGTTTTGCATTCGTTGGTCTCGAAAGGTCTTGGGCTCCGTGAGGTTTATAGCAAAGAAAATTAGGTGAAAAATTTTAACAAAAAAGCGAGTTTTTTTTCACATACAGCACCAATTTGTTGGCGAAACAGAACTCGCCGTGTTTGCTAGTTATTATTTAAATATTGAAACAACCATAGTTAATAATTTGAAGACACAGGTTATATTAGAAAAGGCAAAATAATATTTGATATATATAATATTTGATTCATCGGACAGGGAACCTGTTAACAGTTATGTACATAACTGTTAACAGTTATGTACATAACTGTTAACAGGTTACAACAAATAAATAATACCTAATGGTTTACTTATTACTTATTATTATGCATTATTTGCACCCTTACCATGATTTTCTATGAACCATGGCCACAATATGGGATCATCTTGATGTGAGTAATTCCCTGTGACCTGGACTGGCATACCAGGACTCCATTCAAACATCAAGCTCATCAAAGGTAATGTATGAATGTTATTTAACATCTTTTCCCCATGTTTATATTTTATCTCTCTTACTAAACATCTCTTCACATAAGTCAAAAAGGTATCCAAGAAATTAAAGCAGACATTAGGATTCCAAAATCTCTGAAAATAACAAAAACATGCAGGTGAGTTTTGAGATTTGGAATGCTTACTGAGCCACTGCCACAGCCACACAAAACAATTAAAAAAGAAATATATTTTTTTTTAACCAAACATACAAGCATTGTTTAGGATATATAAGGAAAATCAAATTATATTTACCTGAGACATTTTAACTAAATCCCTAATTTTCCAGTATTTCAATTCTTCAACAATTCCATCATCATTCCTATATCCACATAGTATGGTATCTATACCAGCAAGGAATGACTGACACCACCACTTCTTTGCTTTAAACCGTCTGTGAGAAGGTAAGAAAAAATATTATTAAGTAAAAAACTCATTTTTAAAATACTCTCCTTCTCTCCTCATAATAAACCTCAGACCTCAGATCATCACCAGAGTCACAGTTATAAAAATTGCTGTAATGATTATACCAATTTGAAGGTTGTATATTATGTTTAAAGAATATCAATTTCATTTCCTCCATAAACAACATTTCAAGTCAGTTTAAGAAAATTACAAACCTAAAGCTAGTTTCTTGCTTTGGATGTTCTATATGTCTGTTGGTTTTCAATTCAATAAACTCTTTTGTAGATAAATATTTAACTATAGCTTCTGGACCCAATTCCGAAGGAGGTTTATTAACAGTTTCTTTATCACATCTGATTCCATCCATTTCAGCTCCATATACTACTGTGTGGCGGTTCAAATGAGCTGTAAAGACTAATGAGAACTCCTCATTTTCATCCACAGGAACATCTGGATTCGGTTCAGAATCTGGTTCATCTGGAAACATTATTTGAACACCTTTCAAAACAATGATGTGAAGCACTTATATATTCATGGTATCAAAATGTCAGCATAGATTGGGAGTGCTATTTTCAATGGAAGTAGACATACTACACCTTCCATAGAAAATCTGAAGAAATATTAGCATTCCCTAAGTACAGTATACAATATTTTCTTAGAACAATGTTAAGATACATACCAGATAAAAGGAACTGTTCAAACTTATAGCCCCATGAGGTAAATTGTTTGTCTCTCTCAGTCATATTTAGTTTCCTGTTTAATTTCTCCTCTGTATCTCTTGCACAAAGATAAATGCTCCCTTTGTGTAAAATAGCAACAATTTTCCATGGCTCCCTATTCTCATAAGGAGTACAGGCCACACAAGTCATAAGGCCACGATAACAAAAGAACTTAGCTTCATCTAAATTATTTTCTATAGGAAAGTTCAAGCGGCGTTCATGTTCCAATAAAAACTTTAGTAAGTCGTTTAGTCTCACATCCAAGTCCTGTGGTCGGTGTATCGCCTCGTCTAAACGCAAGTTTAAATCATACCGTACTCTTTCATTTCCAATCCGGCGGGCATATTTGAGATTTTCCAAACCAATGTAACCAATAATCTTGGGACGATCAAAACGAGGAAAAGGTCTTGCATAAATGTTTGCATCCACGTGTAATTCAGGTTGCATATTGAATATTTTGTATATTAATGAATAAATAGTAATTACATATGTAGATACTGAGGTACGATTTCAGTCGAATCGAATCCCCTAAACAAAAACACCTTTTCAGAGATGTTTAATGTTTACTTCAGCTGACAGCTTGACAGTACTCATTATCAATCTGTTTCATGTGTCAAAATCAGCTGATTTGGACTGTCCCCAAAGTTTGGAATAACTACTTGTATTCAGGGCAGCACTAAGGTCTAGACTAGAGTAAGATAAGGCACCAGTCTACTGCGTCCTCTCTGAAAAAACAAAAGTATTTCTTTTTTTATTGCACTATTTTGTATAATTTTAATAACTTTATTCAATATCTCACGGTAACGCTAAAGGAGATCTATAATTAATCAAATTAATGAACCTACTACATGTTTTAGTACTTATTGTGTCCCTCTTTATTGTAGATAATAGCAGGAATAAAATAAAAGAGATAAAATGCCAAATAAAAGTGTATAAATTCTATAATAAACTGTAAAATATGTATGTTTGCTATAATAAAGTGTGTAATTTCTAAACTGGCGACTTTGCGTCGTAAAACACGAAACTGTCAAATTTAAAAAAGACGGTTGCAAAGTTGGAAGTTATTTGCATAGTGAAAAACGTGTTGTTGTCGAATTGAAACTTGAAAGTACCGTTCAAACTTCAAATGTGTAAATATCCAATGTACAATGTAAATATTGGGCTATGGTGCTGAAGGGATTGAGTAATACCAGAAGTTAGTTAGTAGAAAATGGAGTCCAGATTCCAAAAATGCAGACTGTGCTTAAAACTCGGTGAATTCTGCTCAATATTTGAACAAGATGAGAGCATTAAATTATCTGAGATGGTCATGTCTTTTACCAACATTCGAGTAAGTATATTTTTATAAGACAACAATCGTATGGTGAGATTCCCAGTACCTACTTCAAGAAAACGCTTTGTCACTTTTTAATTGTATGTTCTATTTATAGATATACGAAGGTGATGGGTTATCAGATAGAGTCTGCACCTCTTGTATTGAGAATCTAAGCACCGCTTATTTATTTAAACAACAATGTGAAAGAATTGATGCCATGTTAAGAAACTCTCCAGGTATGACCGTGAAAGTTTAATTTGGGTCATGTTATGATATTATTTCACCACCTAAAAGTTTTATGAAGTAAAGTTTTATTCACTCTACTAGCAAGAAAAGTTCTAAAACTATACTTGTTTCTTATAATAGCATAAATAATCATTTTATACTAGCCACAATTTTATCATCATTAAATTTTAATGTATTTTATTTTTTAATTTATTAGACTCAAATTTGGACAAGTCCTCTGTAAGTGATTATAATAGCATCTTCAGTAAGGAGTTCCACATGCATGATGGCACCATGGAAGAGTTTGTTTCTGCGGAAGATGACAACCATGAAAACTTTTGCAAAGACAATATGGACAGCAACATCTTCCATGATATAAGTGATGAGACTGACAGTGATGTTGATTCCATTAAGTGTGTAGGTTGTAATGAATCCTACAGCAAATTGGGTACTCACACCTGTAAAACAACTTGCACCATAGAGCGGAATCAATTACAGAGATCTAGCAGCAATGAGACTTTAGTGGCTTCTGATATGGAGACACATGAACAACCACGGAGAGCCACTCAGTCACTACCTCCAAGGGCAACACAACCACTGCCTGACATACCTGAAGACATGGATGTCACTTGTGTCCTATGTGATGATAAGTTTGATGAATACAACAAGTATGTCATACACTTCAATAAGTGCACCACTAATGTCAAACTCCACCATTACGTCTGTCCTGTCTGCCATGATATATACACAGAAAAAAATGCATACTTGGAACATCTTAAGGCTGAGCACTTTAAAGTAACTTCAAAAGAGACTGTTGTACACTATAAGGCTGGATTCATTGATCCTGGAGAGGATTGTGTAGACTTTGTGCCATCATTAGAAAAGACTAGGAAACCGAAGGCTGTGCGACGTCAAATAGGTTGGTCTGTTGAGGATATTTATCAAGAAATTGATTGCAAAAGAGTGGAGGAAAAAGTAACTCCCACATCAAGTCCATTTAAAAATTTCTTTTCAAAGTTGGGCAATGAGTGAGTTACAAATTAAATATTGGCATGTCAGGGGTATATCAAAGTATATTTCAGCTAATTATGTACTTTTACTAATTTCTTCATGCTTTACTAATGGGAGAATAGATGCTTTATTGCTCCACAACTTGTGCTCTTTATATCTTGAACATGTCAAACTACTGTAACATACCTGTAGTTGGATATATTGGGAAATATTTTTTTAAGTATTTCTATGGTAAAACTACTCTTACCACCTGGCATCTTGGTTTTAGTTGCCTAAAATCCTTTAATATTTGAAAGAATGGTCATATAGAGAAACTAAAAAAAAAATATTATGCTTTTTGAACAATTACAGAAGTTTCAGCAGGCAGAGTACACCTAAAAAAGTAAGTTTTCGGAAATTGTTAGAAAGTGGTAAAGAGAAGACTGCCAAATATTTTCAAAGCACTAAACTGAAGAAGAAAGTGTCTGGCTACAGCCCTATAAAGGGAAAGATGCAAGTCTCTACAAAAATAAAAGCAAGCTTATCAGAAATGACATCAGGTAATAATTTCAACCATTTCCGTCTGTGGCAGAAGTTAACACATGTCTAATTTTTAAGCTATTATGTCTACTTTATGTCCATAAAGTGCTGTGGTTGTTTGACATTGGTTTTCTGTGAGACCATGGTATCACTCCCACCAAGCCCACACATTCTTGCCGAAGCTTGGCTCTCCCACATGAAATGTATTCAATCTCTGCATAAAAGACTAATTATACTCTACACTCAACACTACACCTATAATTTATTGGAGTAAGCTAAGACCAGCTGTTCTAAGTATAATTATATTTTTGTTGGTAATATCAACATTATTAAATTATATATTGTAAATGTCAATTTTTAGATAGTGATTATCATTCCCCAAGTGGAACTTCAGAGGAATCTTGGAAGTTAAAACAGAATTTAATATGTGCTTGTGAGAAGAAAGTGTTCATGTTATCTGAGAGTATTAATGTAAGTAGTCCACATATTTTTAATTGCTTACCTGTACCCTTGTTACCATTATACAGTTATGTATGTTTTAGTATTTTTTCTAATATAAATCTCCAACTTTTTTTTTATGTAGCCTCTATGTTTTGTGTAGTTTGGTATTCACCAGTTGTGGGTGTGTTTGGTTTTTTATGATTGATAATTAAAATCTTATGTTTGTAGCATCGAATTTGACACACACATGATATTCAGACCTTTTTCTTGAGGAGAGAAAATCATCAAATTACTCCTCTTGTCCAGGCCATGGCTACACTTCCCTTTAGCCATGCCCTGCAGTGACTCATTGCGCTTAACCCGAAACCCTGGCTGAACATAGCCTTATAGGGCCCCGTCTGTGGTGGTCTATTGGCTCTTTGAGGCGCGCGCGAAACGCTACGCGCCGTACGCTCGGGTCTGGTTCTGATCGGGCGGCGAGCTACCCTTACACGACGTCCGCAGACCCGCGCTTCTGGTGGCCGGAGATCATCTCTCGATCCCCGACGCCCGGAATGTCGCGTACTGCGGCGGCTGGGGCGCGAGGAGGATAGTTCTCTCACGCGCTTCGCCTCCTCCTTTGCGAGCATCACTGCTTAGCAGAAAGAGGAGACGGCTGCCCAGTTACCCTTGTTACGAACCATGGCCCCGACTAAGGCCGGGCGCGAGAGGTCGCCACCGCCGATCAATTCCCCGGGGACACGGCAGTGCTCAGACCAAGCAGGGCACACCGCCACCATATTCCCCACCGTGGCCTCTAGGTGGTCCTCACAGTCACGACACTGACACTCGGGCATTTCCTCCCGCTGGATCCGAAACAGGAACCTACCGAAGCTGCCTTGACCGGTAGGCACCTGCGTCAGGCAGAAGGTGAGAACGCCGTGGCGTCTCTCAAGCCAGTCCTCAAAGAGGGGTCTTACTATAACAGCGTGTGTCCAGACCTGGAGCAACAATTTGTAGATCCCACAAAGTTTGAAACGGAATCACGTCACGTTGCGCGGCAGCTATGCTGCCGCGTTTAAAGTATGTTTAACTTATTGTTACATATTTTACAGAATCGTGAAAGAATTGCCGCAATGATTACTGAGTTAGGGGGCGTTGTAGCTGAAAATACGAAAATGGAAATGTTGGCAACCCATTTTATAGCAGTGTTGCCAAATGACACGTTCACTGGTATGATGGTCTGCGCCCTCGCCACCGGCAAGTGGTTGATACACGTCAACTTTATTTACGATAGTTTTAGATGCAAGAAGTTTCTACAGGTGTGTATAATCATTTTATTGAGGACACAGTAATCACAAAAAGACCATACATCATTCGTTTTATTCTATAGTTACAGTATTCTATGTAACATCTTACCAATTGCTCACATGAAAACTCGCCCAACAAGACCGGCCACAAAATAACGCATATGTAATGTATTTGTTTGCAGGAATACTTATATGAGTGGCTGAAACACCCCAAAATACTGGAAATTGACTCTACAAGTGTAGAAGTGGCGAAAGCAGCAGTGTACTGGCACTTAGAACTTGATGCACTCAGTGCTAAATATCCCTTTGAGGGCAAACAAATCGTTCTGATCATGAAGAGGAAGTACAGACAATATTATCAAATGATATTCAAGACTCTGAAGGCAAAACCAGTAACTTATGATCCAAGGTCAATATTTAATTATTTAAAAGTTATTTACTGCTTTCCACAAACCATGTCATTGGCATAGAGACCTACATACCACACCAGGTCTATTTGTTAGATGATTTTGTAGACACTGAATTGATAATTTTAAATGGGAAAATTCGTATAATACTTGGCTTGCCTTTAAACTTTATCATAGTAGGAGAGCCCAAGATGCTACATTAGTTGTTCCATAAGCGTCATAAAGGCCAACTGGATTTTGGACATAGGGTGATAGAAAGAAGAATTCTCTGGCTTAGGAAGGATGTGTTAAATATTTTTATTGTAGTGCTTGAGTGTTGCAGATAAAGTATAATATACTCGCATCTATTTCTGGTAATGAAAATATTTTAATCTACCGAATTCCCGTTGCATGGTGGGGTTAACTGACTGAGGGGATAGAAACGGGACCCGTTCAAAAAACTGCCTACAATTTAGTGCACCGCGATAAAATCTGCAGATTTTATTGATTTAATGCTGAAGAAAGTGCTTAAACTGCTTAAAACTCTAAAAGCACCTGTCCCTAATAAAATCTGACAGAAATGACTTCTTTATCTTCGATTTTTTGTATTGTTCTTCCCCGCCCTCCACTCACAAGTGTATGATAGGAATATTCAGCAGGATACTAAGTATTCTACATATTGTGTTAATTAATCGGACTCCCTCGAGTAACGACTATTACTTGAACAACTTTTTAGAAAATAAATTATTCACTATTCTTTCATTCTGTTTTAACAGGACCCCAGGCAGCTGCTGCACTGCAGATTACTGTTTCGTCGACATGAAAATTATTGAAAGAGTTAAACTTCGCTTTTTCGCCCGCCACAATGTTCCTGTATTTCCATATCAGTATATACTAGTGTTCCTGCTCAAGAGAGGTCAGGTTGAAGACGAATTTAAGTATCTTTTGCAAGACTGCAAGAAATATGCAAAGGATACTATGTTTTTGCTAAACGACACCTATTAAAATCTACATTTAAAAGTAATTTACGTTACGAATCCTATATTTTTGTTAAGAGTTTTTATTATAGTTGAGAAGGTTTATGGGTAGCTAAATTTATATTACATATTCAATGTTTTATATATTCGACATAAATATTATTTTATATTTTATGCAATGCATTTAAGCCATATTATTTTTAAGAATAAAGCATATTTCTATGAATTATTTATTTTATTGTTTTATAATATCACATGACGTGACCCTTGCGTGCGTTTCCTGTTCTTGGTTTGCTGTGCATGATAGGGTGATGGTTATGGCATCTCTTTCTGCTAATTCGTATCTGTAAATATATTTTTTTAATAAAAATAAAGTTGGAAGAGCACAACACAAACAATCACCACCACAATAAATTAAATAAAACGGTATTAACATTAAAATGCAAAAATAGACATGTCATCCAACAACAACCCTTTGTCGAAGAACAATTTTGACACAGGAAGGCCTCAATTATTTCGTGAAACCAACCAAACTCGACCTTAGCAATAAAATGATAAGGCAAAATTCCTGGAAACTACTCCGAATGTAGTTATTTTGTTGTCGTACCTTTGAATACACAATCCAACAAACGACTGTTGCCAATATGGTTCCTATCATACCCCAAATTTGATCGGAACTGGGAAACGTATCGTCATTATTATTCGATTTGAATTCTGGTTCATCACAACTACAAAAATAAACTATATAAAGAAGAAACATGGTTACTATAATTTAACTGTCAATTTTAACATAATTCGACATTGCCATTGATTAACAGACATTAGAACTAAAAAAAGTTCGTCGGCGAATCTACGAAGTTTCTATGGGTTTTTAGGAAAACCGAAAAATAAATAACATTTGCCCGACCAATCAAACTCTAGACCCCGTGTTCGGCAAAGCCCGTATTGTAACCTGATGGTAAGCAATCGGCGCCGCCCATGGACACAAATAACACTAGATTAGTAACGTGTGCGTTGAAGGCCTTTTGAGGATTACGATTCCGGAGATTAAGTGAGTGGGGAACAGAAGGTCCTCCGGTAACCACCCTCACCACAATGTAGGTGTTGCTTCACGCCGGTTTTCTGCGAAGTCGTTGTATCACTCCATTCGTGCCGAAACTTGGCTCTTCCAAACTGCTTACTCTTGGGAGGTTGCCAAAATTCGACCGTCGATATGAATAGGTACTACCTATTGATAAACACAAGTGAGATCATTCGTAAACCGAATATTACACGTTAATATAAAGATATTATACGTTATACCGCCAAATTATTTTGTATAAAATGAAAAATTCGAGCAAACTTAATTCTAAACTTATTTGACTTCTACATTTTCTTGATAGAACATGATGAGATCATATGAAATATGGTAAAGAAATGCTAAGCTTACATTTACTATCTACCTATATCCATAAAAGACTAGTCTCTAAAATCTCAGTGTTCTCTCATGTTGGTCAGAGTCAACGTGAATAGGTAGTTTTATTTATATGTACATACATACCTACTTATTTATAAGCAGTGTTCTTAGTTTTCTACTTAATCTGACCTTGGCTCTTATCTTTAGTTTAGACTACAATTATGTTTGTTCTTTCCTTTTACGGGACCACAGGGTCGACCTTTGGAAGGCGTACGAGGAGCCGAAGCCAACACGCAGAGGCCCGTTGAACAAGAAAATAAAGTGCACCCAAGAACAATCCCCGGTTGATGCAGGACTATTGTGAAATGTGGTATAAATTGATAGGGTTATGGGTATGGGTTGCTATGCACTAGTGGATGAAAACTATGGAAATACTATGGCCCCTGCCCCTGACCAATATTGATACATACGGATAAACATGCAGGGGGTGACTGGCAAACTCAATTAATGGGCCCCCGGAAACTGCGCGGCCGCTAGCATGTAGCGAAACAGGGGCAACATACGTTGAGCTGCTTGGGTTAGGAGAGGCATCCCACGGCTATCAGAGCAATCCTGGGAGTACGGTCAAGACCAGCACCTTACTGAGATACATCCTTCCCCCGAGTCTCCTTCAACTCCTACTCTTGCGAATCTCCACTTAAGCCAGCCAATTAAGGCAAGAATAAGGTGGGAGGGCTTGTTCTTCATCAGTGTTCAGTCCAGCTCGTCACGAGGACTAACCGGAGGTGAAAAACAAGATACCTCCTGGGAGTCAGGTCCGTGGGGTCGCCACTGCCCAACAGCTCGCCACAAGCTGCCTTGCGGATAGACTACAATTATTATTATGTATATTATAAATAAGTAAATAACGTGAATGAAGCGCACATGCAGCACGTTTCCACCTGCTTAGGTAATTTCGTTCGGAAACACAGGAAATGGATATAGACTCTTACCTTTTCTCATCTTTACCTATATGATGTCAAAAATTTTTGTAATATAAAGATTATCAGCCTATTCGGATTTTATTAAAATTCCCCAAGTATCTTTTGGCATATTATGCGAAAACAAAGCGACGCCTGGCGGTAGAAAAATTATGCGAAGTTGAGGGCCTACACACCCATTGAGACATGAAATAGATTATGGCGGGATTTTATAACCATAGACAGATACTTTTCTCTTTGGATTACCTGTGGAGTGGATGGTATGTTACATACCTACTTAGTAGGTACTTCTTCTCACACGCAGCGATCGCGATTTACTTGCTATGTTGTTGAGCGATAAAGTTTCACAGCACTTAGTACACTGCAAATGCATTATTACTTAGTAGTGGACATTTAAAACTCAAAGGAAGTGAATAGTGAATTTGATTCGAAATAAACATATTATTATATATAGGTACCTATAATCGTTTGTTTCTGTTGGTAAGAATGCAGGTTATTGTTAAATAGAGAACTATTACTTAATACTGAAGATGACGGAGTGTCGTTAACTAATTAGATAAATGGTAACGAAAGTAATAACAGTGTTGTGTTTTACAGCGTTGTTGTGCAGTCTTGTAAGCTACTGAGCCGCAAACAACATGGGAGGTTGCTGGTCAAGTAAAGTAAGTATTTTTTACAATACTTAGGACCTTGCAACATTAACGGTATGTTTGCGTTGTTTTCCCGTGTGAGTTATAGGTATTACAAATTCTTTTGTCAAAATCCAGTAAGTATATTTCGACAATGGAACGAGCAAACCTTTACTAAATCAAGGGATCTGTGTAAAAAAAGATTTTACCTTGGATCCGCTGTATCAAATAACTACAATGGTAACGGTAGTTTAAGTTGGTAACTACATTTTTTTTGCTTGTTTTCAGAGCGACGGCGGTCGAAGCACCGCGTACGTCCGGTCTTCCTTCAGGGACGAGCGAACGCATCGAGTACCTGAAGTACGCCCTGTAAGTAATTACGTATGCATATCACACACAATACCTCATGTGTACCTACATATATGTGACTTGAATTCTTTAATTTTCGACCATCCATAACTCGCTCATATTTATTTGCTGAATGCAAATTACGTAATTATACGTATATTACACTTAGGTAGAAATATAGCTACTTAGCACGATAAATGTAGTAGTAGTCTGTAAGTCTAAATAAAATTGTTTTTTTCACATATTTTTATGTGGAACCACGCGGGCGAAGCCGCGGGCGGGCTAGTTATACAATAAAGTCGTTAGTCGTCCAAGCGAAAGGTTCGTGAGTTACTTTCGAGATCATGATTACAATCATCAGTGAAATTATTCAGTGTTGGAAGGCACGAAAATATTTATCTCCAGATACTGTCAGCTACTTAATTCAACAGGACGTGGTTTTGTGTATTTTACACCTAATTAAACTAAATGGAAGCAGCGTGAGCTGCATCGCTCCTCACCATCAGTTTGTAAAATCCTACTATTTCCAGTACAAACAACGTTAGGTATAGCAGTGGAAATCCTGAGTAGGTATATAATTATACTAAAGGATATACAAATGTTTTATATCCTTTATAGCATATTTGTATTACAAATCAATGGAACCTATTTTGTATAGGTCTTCGTGTGACTACATTTCCTATCAAGTCCTTTTTTTTATGTAATTGGTCGGCAAACAAGCAGAGGGATTACCTGATGGTAAGCAATCAGCGCCGCCAATGGACACCCGCAACGGAGGATTTACGAGTGCGTTGCCGACCTTTTAGGGATTAGGGATTTGGAGATTTAGGGATTGAGGAGGGATTGGGGGCGGGGAAGGATTGGGCCTCCTCACTCACACGGCGAAACACAACGCTGTGGTTGTTTTACGTCGGTCTTCTGTGAGGCCGTGGTATCACTCCGGTCGAGCCTCTCCCACACTTAGGTTTTTAACTAAATCATCGTGTGACGCCCTTAGTGCCGTGGTGATAAACCGAAGATTACGGTATGCCTTTTTGCAGACGTCAATGTTATGTCTTTGAAAATGCAAATCTGCTGCCCAGCGAATAAGTATCTAAATCTTGGACAATGATTTGGCTCCACTCAATAACTTTGTTGACTTTAGTTTGTCAGGCAATATGGTTCGCAGTACCTATCCTTTATTTCATGTATTAGTTTTAGGTCAGTGGTAAAAGTAGGTATAAGGAATCATTTACTAAGCTAGGTTAGGCATTTATAATGAACTAGCGACACGCCCCAGCTTCAAAGTCAAAGTCAAAATCATTTATTTCAATTAGACCCATACAGGCACTTTTGAACGTCAACACAACTTTAAAGATACAAAGTGTCAGTCTGTCGGTCAGTGTAGATTCCGATGGAGAACAACGAGCAAGAAACTCCATGGTTACTCTTTTTAAATCACTTTCACATACAGATTCCTTTTACAAACAGTTGGTTCAATTATGTGAGAACAGTGTAACACTAATATTTATTCAAATATAAAAATAAAGCAACCTTAAGGACAATAGACAGTCTGGAGCTGACCAGTCCCAACTGACGGCGCCCGTTCACGAGCATGACACGTACACCAGCATCGCCCAACTAAACCATATTATTCGGAATTAAGCGATCCAGCGCCCATGCCACCGCCAGTGTGACCTTTCAGTGAGCATGACAACTCCAAGCTGTTGTAAGGACCGACATTCTGCTAGTCTAACCAATTATAATAGGTTACAGGGCACTCACATTTACAAATTCATCAAGTTATAGTTATACAATATAATGCAATTTCACTAAAATGAAGAAGTCCCGTTCAAGCAAAATCCACTGGAACGTTATTTATTTTGGTGTAGGTTTGCTATCCTGTGGAGCAGGACCAGCATGTCTCCAAGCATCTTTATCTACAATGTAATCATTCAGTGTGTAGTATGCTTTTCTACATAAAGTTTTCTTTACACATAATTTAAAATTTCTTTCATTTAATTGTTGTATTTCGCCTGGGATTTTGTTATAACATTTAACACAGAATCCCATGAACGACTTATGTACCTTTGCCAATCTATATAATGGCTGACATAATCTATCTCTATGTCTAGTTTGATAATTATGTCTATCTGACACCTTATCGAATATTTTTAAGTTTTTCCTAACATACATAATGTTTTCATAAATAAACTGACATGGCACGGTCATAATATTGATCTCTTTAAACTTTTCTCTAAGAGACTCACGACGCTTTAGGTTGTAAATAGCTCTGATGGCACGCTTTTGCAAGACAAAGATAGACTCAATGTCAGCAGCCTGTCCCCACAACAAGATGCCATACGACATAATGCTATGAAAGTAGCCGAAGTACACCAGTCTTGCAGTGTCCACATCTGTTAGCTGTCGAATCTTCCAGACAGCAAATGCTGCAGAGCTCAACCGTCCTACCAGAGATGTGATATGGTTATACCCAGAAAAGTAGTTTGTTTTACAAATTCCAATTTCTTACCGTTTAATAATATATCACATTCGTTACTTTTAACATTTGGCAAACTGAATCGTATACACTTTGTCTTTTTGTCGTTTAAGACTAAATTATTAACTGTAAACCAATTATGAACCTTCGTAATAGCATTATTTACGTCGTCATAATTATCTGTCCGTCTATTTATTTTAAAAATCAACGATGTGTCATCAGCAAATATTACCATTCCCGGTTCACGTTGAAATAAATGAGGTAAATCATTTATGTACACTAAAAACAGGACAGGACCTAATATCGAGCCCTGTGGTACGCCCATAGATATGCTAGCACCCTGGGAGTTCACTTTATTTACTTGTACTTTGAACTGCCTATCCTGCAGGTATGATTTTAATAAATTGAGAGATACCCCTCGAATGCCGTAGTGTTCCAACTTCAGCAACAGTTTCGCGTGTTCAACGCAATCAAAAGCTTTAGACAGGTCACAAAAAATCCCAATAGCGTCGTTTGACTTTTCCCATGAGGCTGTGTGCTGATGTGCTTAATTTTAAAGCTCTTGAAATACTTTTTTCCTTTTTTGCTTGACGTTCAGAAGTGCCTACTGTGGTCTAATTGAAATAAATGATTTTGATTTTTGACTTTTTCTCTTTTTGCCGACTTCAGATAAGGAGGAGGTACTATGTTCGGCTGTTTGTTTGTTTCATTTTGTATGTTCACCGATTACTCCGCCATTTATGAACTGATTTCCAAAATTTGCTTGAAAGGTTATACTCCCGAGAGGGTCCCATTTTCATGAGATCGGGATCTGATGATGCAATCTTAGGGAAACCGAGAGGAACTTTCGAGAATTGTAGGGGCGAGTAGTGCTTTTGCATGTTGCTTTAGTAGGCTTTTTAAAACGCTACAACTTGCCGATTGCCGAACTTGACCTGATGATGGAGCCGGAAGACAGTTGAAGGATCTCCTTGATTATTTGAAGTAGTCACCTTGTGTTTGGGCTTGAATGATTCGGGTTGGTGAGCACTTTGCACCAAGATTTGATCGTGACTGTCTTTAGGGGTCTGATGATGAGAACGAAGGACAACTTAGGGAACTCCTGAACAGTTCACAGTAACAACCTCGTGTTTGGACTTAATTCATTTTTATCGATGAAAACTTCGCACCTATATGGGTTACAATGAAATTATGGAGTAAATCTGATGATGGAGCAGGAAGGCAGTCATGGGATCTCTTTGAATATTTAGAGTAATTATGTTGTGCTTGGATTTAATTCATTTATATTGATGAGAACTTTGCACCTATACGGATTGTGTAAGTATATTGAAGGTCTGCAGTATACATGATGATGGAGTCCATTGACGGTCAAGGGAATTCCTCAACGATTTACAGTACTAAACACTAACTAACTCAGGACTACTAATTACCGTGATTTTCGGTCTCGTATTCTCATTCGAAAACCGTTATCCTTGCTTGCTCTGCCTATCACTTAAAATGGTGAAATAAATATTTTTTAACAAAAATTCCGACTTCAAAAAGTAAACTAAAACGCAAAAAATAAGTTTTCTTTTTAGAAATTAATACATGTTTTCATTTAGTTGAATGGAAAGTGATATTAATAACCATTTTATAATCTTGAAGTCGGTGCATGCAACATGAATTTAATACCTACGAGAAGATTTTTGATGACTTTCGATGTCATTTAAGGCAACAAGGAAGTTATGATAGACTACGATTGGATACCTGTCACGATGAAGAAGAAGCCCCATCTCGTGCGACTGTTTACAACCTATTTACAACTGATTTAATGAGTTGAAACGTGGTCGCACTAACCTCACTGATGATTTACGTGAGGGACGGCCTTCTAAGGCGACGACTGAAGATAACATTTGTGTTGTGCGGCGTATGATAGAGACTGACCTATCAGCAGATTCGGATAAGCTTAGGCATCGGTATGAGTCAAGTGCACAAAATCCTCCACGAACAGTTAGCGGTCAGGAAGCTTTGCGCCCAGTGGATACCTCATAATTTGATGACTGAGGCTCAAAAACTCCATCGTGTGGATTGGTGCCGTAAAATGATTGAAAGATTTAACGGAGGTGACTCAAATGCTCTGTTTGACATATTAGATGGTGACGAAAGCTGGATTTACTGTTATGATCCTGAAACCAAAAGACAATCTGCTCAGTGCGCGTTTCCTTTCGAGGAGATGCCAACTAAAGTGAAAAGAGATCGAAGTGCAAGAAAAAAGTAGTGGCCTCGTTCTTTGGAAGGATAGGTCATTTCACAGTTTCTGCAGAATGGTACACTACCAATTGTTTGCCACTTGTCTTGGAAAAAGTTCGAGAGAAACGACCTCGCAGTAGGATCCTCCTTCACCACGACAACGCCTCGTCGTACACCGCCAAGCGAACGATCGACTATTTGGCGACATCCTATGTTGAATTACTGGGTCACTCGCCGTATAGCCCCGACCTCGCGCCTTGTAATTTTTATTTATTTACAAAAATTTAAGAAAAACTTAAAGGATAAGCATTCATAAACCGCTTATGAATGCTGAAGAAGCGGTGGCTGCGTATCGCGATGCCATTGAAGAGACCGGCCCCTAAGGACGAGTGGGCAAAGTGCTTTTCCCAGTAGTTCCATCACATGCAGCGGTGTATTGTCGTGAATGTTATTGAATGATTATTTTGAAAAGATATAATAAAAGTAATAACCAGCTATTGTAATCAGCTTTTGATTTTCTAAGAACTTTCAGTTTGACCCTCGTATTGTATTTTAACACCGCAATTCAGCGAGAAGTAGCACAAAAAAGCACAGCGCCATCTCTTAGGGACTTAGATTACTAATTTGTGCAAATTAGACGGGTTGTCGATGCCACGCAGTTCAGCTCCTTGTCTGCCATCCCTGTCTGCATGGGAGAAAGAAACATCCATTTACAATGCGTCGGCTTGCCCGTCTATTTTAAAGTATGTGAAGACCTTGAAAACTGTATTTATTTATCTTCCAGGAGAAACTCAAGCCTTTATATGGAGAGTATAGATGCGGCCGCTGTAAAAACTTTTGGACTAGCCGTCTTTCGTGGCCCAACAAATATCAACAATGTAAACGTTGTAAGTCTTACGTACATCCAAAAAATCAGGTAAGTCTACTATGATTACCCAACTCATCTAAAAAAAAAATACAGAAACTTCGAAGCCTTCTTATACTAGGTACTCTAAAACATAAGCTAAAATACTTATTGCTATTCGCTAATGCAAACAGTGCCGGCGTAAAGGCCACTGACCCCCCGGGCGAAAATATTGTGGCGCCCACTTGAGGGAAGCAATATCAAGTGTTACTTTTTTGCTGATCCCAAGTAAAATGAAAATATGCATATGCTCCGAGCGTAGAGCGCAGTTCTGAGGGTTTGCACCAGGAGAGACTCCAACTACAGACCTTGGCGCCCCCCAGAATTTCTCGTCCTGGGCCATCGCCCCATCACGCTCCCCCCTAACGCCGGCATTGAATGTAAACCACCCCATGGTAAATGTAGTATAGTACTGTTAACCAATATATTCACAAAATATTGATTAGGTATTATTTTATTACATGACATACTAGCGACTCGCCCTGGATTCGCACGGGTGAAGTGCTGATAAATTTTTCTACTATTTTATGGATGTTATACTTTTAAGTCAGTACATGCATGTAGCGTAAACCACCTGCAAAAAGATTAAGGTACGTGTGAGAGTAATCAAAACGTAAACAAATATAATCAGAAGGAATGATCCAAACTGCTAAGCTATTGGGAGTTACACGTGTTATTGTGAATCAACCATAAAAGATTGACATACTTATGCTGTCATACAACATATTATTTAATGTAGAACATTTTCGTAATACATGATTTCTCTGTAACTTTAACAAATAAAGCACACGCGACGGAAGCTTAAAAAACCGAGTAACTTCTCCCGTTTTCCCAACTGCTCTGTTACCTTCACTGCTCTGTTCCTATTAATAGGGATGAGGAATAAAAAATAATAATTACCGGGTAAGTCCGGGTTACTTTGACCCTCGGGGTAACTTTGATCCAAACCCCTTAACCAATAATAACTGAGAACCAAACGTATATTCGTTTTTCATTGGTTACCTCCCAGGGTCAAAGTAACCCGAACTTACGGTATACATAAGTCGATATCAGCAACATCTCAAGGGTAACACAGTAGAACTACTTATCGTGTAAGAAGAGGAGTTTAAACTTAAGGCATGTTCAGTATTGAAACTTTCAAAATATTAGTAAAATTTCATTTCCATTAAACTGTCCATATTTGGAGTGTTTACCCTATTGATATAAATCACACATGTTTTTCTAATTGCACTTTGCAGAGGGAACTACGGCCTACTGACTACAAACGTAGCAATGACGTCGGCTTGGAGCATCCTCGACAGTTTTGTGAGATGTGCAAAGAAATGGGAAAATACTGTGCAACGAATTCACCACAATAATTTGTTATAAAGTCCGTATCTGCTAAATAAGAACTTAGGGTCAAATCAAATTACCGAAGTCAATGCGTCTATCTGAAATATCCTGCCAAATCCACAATTAACTCCGGAAATTAAGTAACGCACATATTCCTGTGAAAAACGGAATACCTACGTAAAAATGTCTATGCTGATTAGGTGATTTCCTAATGAAAGAGTTGAAGAATCAGCTCAAAGGATTGAAATGACCCATAGCACACTAAAGTTCACTTTTCGTAGTGTTGTTCACATGACTATTTACATAAATTAGGTTTATTTTAGTACACCGTTTATCATCATAATACCTAAATAAATAAATCATTTGGGATTATAAATAAGGATTATTAGACGCTTACATTGTGATTGCCATAGAATTTGCTCTTGTATACATACATTTTTATTTTCCTTACTATTAATGTATATAATTCGAAAAGCTCGTTTACCTACTAATTTTTCGGTGAAGAAGTTACTTTGTATCCAGAACACAATTTGATAAATAAACAGATGTTCTATTGTATTAACCTGATTGTTCTTACTTATTCTTATTATACGCGACAATAAATGAAAAGACAGTTTGGTAAGATTGTGTTTATTTTAACTGGTGACAAAAAATATTTTTTATAATCCGTACATTTCCAGAGACAGGATTTTTATACACACATCAATAAATGTGATGCACTTATAAAGGAATGATTGTCTGTATTTTTTAATTTATGTGTCAGTATCATCTTGTCCGCTGTCACCGTTGAATGCACGGTTCACTAATGTTGCATAATTAGTATTTTTAAAATAACTTGGCAAATTTGTCGTATAGTTATTCTTCTTTTCTACTAGATAAGCAAACAATGGCATTAGTCGGGACCCAATTTCATCAATATCTTCTATATTAGTATCTTTCAATAACTTCGATAAGCTGAACGCTGCACTTATGACATGTCGGTCGGTAAGCGGAACTTGAAAGAATTTGTACTGTAAAAAAAGGTTAGTCTTAATAATTTCGTTCTTAATAGGTATTTTCAAGGCCTTGTACGTAATTTATATAGATAGGTACATACCCGTATAACGTAGGCTAGGTTCTGGATGCAGTAAAACAAGCAGGATCTCGTAGCAGGTGTGCGGGTCCCCTCAACTGCCTTGGCAATCATGCGTAAGGCTTCGTGGAAGATGCAGAGAACATCAATGTCTTCAATGTGCCGCGTCAAATTGTCCCATACCATACACCATTCATCCTGTGTGCCCGAACTTAATATCTGGACATAGAACATTTAAGTCAGAGCCATGTTAGGCATAAAGAAAGTTAAATACTATAGATAAAGAATAGCTTACCTGGGTAACCCAAATTGATATTTCGCTGCGATTCGTATCCTTATCTACCTGCATGCCACTGACTGCTTGGAAGAAATTGGAACCTTGTCCACCTAATAGTTTTCTAAAGTAAAAGTTATTTTGTGGCTGCATATTTTTTCTTTTCAGTCTGATCCGTAACCAGTCACCTTCGTCATCTGCAATACACAGTTTCATTTTACACTTTTATAGAAGTAGTAAATACTATAAATTGATGGTAATGTTATATGATACAGTTTTCAAGTGTGGGAGAGCCAAGCTTCGGCACGAATGGGTCGGCTCGACCGGAGTGATACCACAACCTCACCGAATACCGGCGTGAAACAACCCACAGCGTTGTGTTTCGCCGTGTGAGTGAGGTTACCGGAGGCCCAATCCCTCCCACTCCCCTATCCCTTCCCGATCCTTATATCCCCAACCCCTATCCCCAAAAGGCCGGCAACGCACTCGTAACTCCTTTGGTGTTGCGGGTATCCATGGGCGGCGCCGATTGCTTACCATCAGGTAATCTGTCTGCTCGTTACCATAAAAAAAGTCCAGGTAATGATTCATGATATTCAAGTCATAGGTTAAAATCATTTATTCCAACTACACTATAAACATAATAGAATGAACTTACTTGGAATAACAGAATCATATGTTTCTATCAAAGATTTCTGAAAGTTCAAAGTGACCTGAAGAGTTGATGAGGCTTTAGGCACAAATGCTTTAATGTTCCCCCAGCGGACTACTTCCAACACTTGACTCAACATAGCAAGCATTGGAGCTCGGTACTCTAATAATTCTTGGATAGTGTAGGCTTCATTCAACAGCTGAATCTGAACATGTATCTTTCCAATATCTTTGTTCAAAAGAGCTTTGTGCATGTGTGGCATTATAATTAGAAGCAGTAACTTTGTGCCTGGGATTAAATCATTTTTCTTTAGTCCACTTAAAAACTTGACTATATTGTCTTGTTTATTGTCAGAATCTAAAGATTCGTCAAGAATTTTTTTTATTATACTTATAATACAAGGTTCTGTTTCAGTTACATAGTAATAATTAGAATAATCCCTGAGTAGATCCATTACTTTCAGCATAGTGTTTGTCAGTTGAGCATTTTCTTCGGCCAATACAAATATTTTATTAAAAACTTGTTTGGGGTTCAGTAAAAAAACATTTAATACTTCTTTGAAGTCTGCATCAGTGTCGGCTACAAATTTATTGAACATTTCAGTAAGCAAGGTGTGAAATTCTTCATCATCACTCATGTCATAGAACTGGTTGTCATTGAAATGTTCTTTAAGCAGTTTATGTTTGTCTGATACACTGCAGTGCCGGAATATTTTGATAGATACTGATGTCACTATTTCTCTGTTGGTTGTGTTGCTTTTAGCATAATTGGTGAACATATGGTATAATTGTAAACACTCATCATCATCAAACTCATTCAAGTTACTTTCAATAATATGGATTAGATCTATGTGCTGGCACAGCAGTTCTTTGTGCACTAGAGCATGTATCCAAGAGGATCTATCCGCACAATTGCTATTGATATTTTGAATTATTATGTTGGCATCAGTGACATTAATAATATCGCTGATGACAGCTGGCTTACGGGCCATTTGTTGAACCATGTCTATCACAGGGTGTTCAGCCACACTATTCACCTGTAACAGTTTTGTCCTCACTTTATGGCAAAGCTCTCCTATAATCTGTTGCATGCTTTTACCATCATCTTCAAACTCACTCCAAGCACAGAATATGTCTATACTGACACCCATTACTACCTCTTGAAAAATATCTAATAGCATAACATTGCAATTGTTCAAGCACTCTGTTACATCTTTGTTTGGACAGTCACATACTTTGTTTGTGGGTGGATTACACTTAAAACAACCCTCCTTATATGTGGACCTGTAGATGTCATTGAACCAACTTGAGTTCACTTCTTGAGTGAAGCAACTAAAACATTCATAAATCAACAATAAGATTGTTTTGAAACAGTTTCCATGAAACTTGTACAATTCATCATTAATTAGTAAGTCTATCAAATGACTATTAGGGGGCTCTGAGAAATATTTTAAGCATTTATGTAAAGTTTCATAACTAGTAGTCAATAAATTTTTAAATGTTTCTTTGTCAAAATCAAAGCAGTGCAGCCTACAAATTAAGGAGTATATTGCTGCTGACAAATTGTGCAGTTTTTGCAGACCCTTGGTGGGATTGTAATACTTATAGTTTTGTGCAAATGCTCCTGCCACTTCCACGGCCAGTGGAGGATAACCATAGGTAATAATTTCATACACAAAGTTCTCCATACAAAGGTTCCACAACATTTCACTCATCAGGTATTGTGGAATGTTTGGTATTGACTGTACGACTAGAAAAACTCCTTCCATCTCTATCATCTCTTTAACTGCTTTTAAATCAGAATTAAGAACAATATACATTGCAAACTTTCGTGTTTTTGACACCATTGTATCTATTACTCCACTTTCATTTATATATTTTTCATTTTTTAAAAACCTGGTCATACTTTCTATTATGCTTCTAACTTTTTCTTCATTGCCTGCAAAAAGTTTAGTACATTATTGATATTCAGCAAATATTTTTGGCTGATTAGAAAGAGATCTACAAACTTTGTAACTGTAACTGTGTTGTCTGAGAAAGATGGAAGATAAAATCAGCAAGCACTTTATTAAATTACCGAACCTACGTCTGAAAATATTCGTGCCAACTTTGTAACTTAATAACATTTTCACCACACCAGCATGAGTTGTAACTTGGCTAGATTAGGAGGTAGTTATCAAGGCTAAACCTTAACTTACAGAATTTCAAGTGAAAACAGAAGCAAATTAAGTAAACCTGTTGAAGGATACAATATTGACCCTGTATTATTAGTATTAATACCGGTATAGTTTCAGAAATAATAAAACTGTGTGCTTACCGCCTTTCGATGTTATTCTTGAAAAACTGTTAGTGTGGTTCAAAGATATAATTAAGCCTTCAAATGCGGATAGCTCAGGAGTAAAATCCATTTTTATTTTGTTATTTTCAGTTCAAAATAATTAGTTTTCTCTTTATTCACCCGGCGAATCAATAAATTTATTTCTGACGTAAAATTTGACATTGACATTACCAGGTTAGAGTTGCTATTACTCATATTTGAATTTTTAAATGAAAAAATAGTAGGCCCAATGTTGCCAGGCCATTTTGCTCGATATAAATACGTTTTTCTTTTTTGTTTTCCGTAAATTCTTAGCAATCGTATGAGATCTGGAATTGTGGTATATCACGATAGGCTATCGTCTTTGTCCTACATAATTAACAAAACCTAACAAAACTGATTTGTCCTAACAAAACTGATAAAAAGTGGATGATCTTCACTGTACTACTGCTAAACGAGGATATCAGAAAATCTATCATAGAGACAAGTTAATTAGAAGGATGAAAATGAGGAAAACTCAATCTTTTTTAGGATCACTATTTATTTATTTGATGTGTGGTGAACTGTAACTTAGTAATCATATTAATTTAAAACACTGGCAAAGGTAACATTTAATCGTATGGTATAATCTAAGCACATTCTACTTTTTACATAATAAATACCCACTGTAATACTAGTTCATCTATTTATTTTTACGTTTCTGTAAAGATACAAGATTTTTTTGAGCAGTCTTGAACGAAGGGTCAATTTTTAATGCTTTAGTATACATTTCTTCTGCCAGAGCATATTTTTTCCATCGATGATAAAGTACTCCTGAAATGTAATAACAGTAAACAGTTAGCTTTTATACCAGCTCACTGGACTATCTGAACCTCAACAGTGTCGGAAAAATTAAATTGTATTGTCACCTAGGTTGGCGTAGTGTATCGCCTTGATATCCTTGTCAAACAACCGAATCGCCTTAAGGAAGTGTGTTTCTGCGTCCTCGTACCGGCTCAGCTTTCCATACATGTTGGCTATGGCAAAATTTACGGCGGGAGCGTTTGGCAATTCACTTAACGCCTTCGGTATGATTTCTAACGCTCTGTCAATTTGTCCTAAAATGTTTGAACAAAAACTGCAACTTCGATGGTAACAATACGTTTTCAATTCAAATTTTTCAAATATTTGTTAAATCAAATTGCAACTATAGCTTGATAATTAAGAAATTATTACATGCAGCCATTCTAAATAATAAAGTTTTCTATTATTGGGGAGGCCTATGTCCAGCAGTGGACGACAACAGGCTGATGATGATGATGATGATTAGACTTCAACAGCTACTATTAGCGCAAAATAATATGCAAATCTTTTTCGAATAGAAAATATCGTGACACATACTAATTTTATTTTAAATAACTACGTATTCACGTGAAATACCTGATAAGAAAAGATCAACTAGTTTCAAGTCACACGGGGCTCTTATCGCCGTAGAGAGAGAGAGGCTAAGCAATTAGAGCTTTTCTCAGTTATTTAACGTGAGCAATTGTTATTTTCAATAAATATTATATTCAAATCTATTTTAGTTACCAGTGTTATCCATCAAAGCCAACAGGTTAGTCCACGCTAATACATGCTTAGGACTCTGATTGATAGCCTGAAGCCAACTCTCTATAGCTGCTTCTGTTTTATTCATTTCAAGGTACTGCAACAAAGGTACCTACTGTATATATCAACCAAATACATTTTTTAAATCCTGATAAGTGTTGGTTTTGTAACGATTTCTATTTCGCAAATAATTAGTTTGCTATTGTTAAGGAGTACATGTGCTGAGTATCAATTTAGTCAAGATGCGTCTCGAATGTTAAAAAACGCAAAACAAAATTAATACAAGACATACCAAGTTGCCCAAATTATAATAACAGTCCGGATAATTCTTGCGATGATTTAAAGCAGTTTTATAAGCAGCTTCTGATTCTTTAAGACGCTTGGTAGAAGCTAAAAGTATGCCCAAATTCATCCAAGCAGCTGGGAAATCCTCCCTGAAATTGTAAAAAGTATGTACCCAACTACAGTTAAAAAATGCTTAGTTCAATAAAACATATAAAAAAGAAATCGTGGAAACTGCGAAATATTCGGTATTATATTTATCATCAAAGGCTACTACCTAAAGACGTTTTATATTTTTACACATAAGACGACCAACAATGCAAGGCATTAAGATGCCGTTGAGGCTGCCTTTGTTTAATAAATATCTTATGCTTAAGGTGCCTACCCTAAGCATATTCAAAACATTCGCTAGTTCAAAGCAAATATTCACATTTATTCACCCAGATGTTACAATTAGGTATCTACTCTCATTAGTCAAAAATAAATTGTTTCGGCTTTTCAATACAATAAACTATAATCTCACTTTTTTAATTTTACGATATACTACTCTGTCAAGAAAGTACCGGGAAAAAGTCAATAATACACAAAATGTTTGTTATTCATCTAAAATTTTATCACCTTCAAAGTATGCTCCTTCAGAAACGATACACTTACGCCAACGAATAATCCAATCATCGAAACTTTTTTTAAACGCTGTTTCCGGAATTGAGTTCAGTGCTCGCCGCGAATTCTCCTTTATGTCTTCTAACGATTGAAAACGGGTGCCACGAAGGGGTAATTTGAGTGTGAGAAAAAGAAAGAAGTCGGCTGGAGCCATATCTGGTGAATATGGTGGCTGCTCGATGGTGTTTGTTGAGTGTTTGGACAAAAAATCGTTTACAATGATGGCCTTGTGCGAAGGCGCATTATCGTGATGCAAAATCCAAGAATTTTCTTTCCACATTTCTGGTCTTTTTCGTCGAATTTGTTCTCTTAAACGCCGCATAACGCTGAAATAATATTCTTTATTTACCGTTTGACCTTCGGGCAAGAATTCTGAGTGCACAACACCGCGATAGTCAAAGAAAACAGTCAACATGACTTTGACTTTTGATCGACTTTGACGTGGTTTTTTCGGTTTTGGTTCAGTTGGAAGGCGCCATTCCGAAGCTTGTTGACTAGTTTGCATGTCAAACTCGTAAACCCACGTCTCGTCACCAGTAACAATGCGTTTCATGAATGTTGGGTCGGTATTGACTCGTTCTAGCATGTCCTCAGCGACTTTCATGCGATTTAGTTTTTGAAGAAAATTCAGGTCTTTTGGGACTTGCCGAGCGGCAACACGTTTCATACCCAAATTATTTGTTAAAATGGTACGGATCGACTCGTGAGATACAGAAAGTTCGGCGGCCATCTCTCTCAAACTTGAATGAGGATTTTCAGTCAAAGTGAAGGAAATCCTTCACTTTTGCGATGTTAACTTCAGTTGCAGACGTTGATGGCCTACCAGAACGAGGCAAATCTTCCATCACATCTCGACCGCTTTTGAACGCTTTGTACCACTCATAAGCACGTGTTTTTGATAAAGTCGATTCACCGTAAGCCTTATGTAACATTTTGAGTGCCTCAAAACACGAAATTTCATTGGCGATGCAAAATTTAAGACAAACTCTTTGTTCGATGTTTTTGTCCATTATGAAATTCGCAATACACACTAGATATTATAAAACTAAAAACAGCACTGTTTATACTATAAATAACAGATGCAACTCAAATTCCGCGCCAAAATGGAAAACAGTTATGCTAATCTAACAACAACAAAAAAATTAAAATTCGTATAGTATAGTAGCTTCGTATGTATTTGGAACCATAAAAAAAACATTCATTCCCGATACTTAGTTGACTGAATGTATATCTGATTAATAAAGATATTGACACCTGCAATGCTCTATAAATCAGGTGGTTGTAGTAGTAGACAGATTACTTGTCTGCTGACGTCCATTCTCATGACTTCTCGCATCCATTTTGAAAAAAAAGTAAGGAAATATATTGAAAAAGAAAACTCCATCATGCATGTTTCTCAGACTTAAACTAAGGAGATGCTCCTCATTGGCACGGTCATTAGCTAACAAGGCCCTACGGTCCCGTAAAGATTTGTCTACATTTTAGATGGGATTATAAAAGGCCCATGACTTTGTGCCAAGTACCAACGTGGCTTATGAGGATGTAGGGGTTGTATAAAATTGATACCACTTAATCACCTTCTTGCAGTCATGGCAGTGAAACCCGATGCTTCTTTATTCAGTATCTAGACAAATCCACGAGAATGAAGAACTTTTGAGAATTATGCGAGGAATACTTCAGGGTAACAGTCTGGGACCACTTTGGTTCTGCTTAGACTTGAATGCGGTCTGAGGCTTTCTGAGGCTTCAGAGCTGGACTATCTTTTGCGGAGATATGAGGTGTATCCCACTTACTTCATGTTAATAGCTGATGGAACTATTACATCAAATGGAATTCGGAGTAGACAAATGTGCGGCATTAAAGCGAGTGGGATTGTGAATCTCTAGAACAAATCTGAAAGATTTGTCAAATCTCGATCACTCTTCGCAAATACAAGATAGAAGATTCACGTCCCAGGGCATGTCAGAAGGATTAGGCATAAATCGTTACAGGAGCACTTCGTTGGCAATATTATCCACCAGCAACTTGCTTTGCACTTCCGACTTGTTAAGTCTGAGCAAACAAACTTACAGTATGCCCGACCCAGTTCTGGAAAATGTCTATATCACACTATACTGGGATTGGTCTACCAGCCAATAAACCGGATATAGTGATAATCGATTTCGTCGACTAGCGCATAATCGATTTCGTTATTCCTCATGAGGAAAACGTTAAAACTTTTATAGCTGAGCAAAATGCACCTTAAGAGCCTGGTGTTAGGTGGTTGTGGTTGGATCAAGATATATAGTCATCCTATGACTGACCCCTCTCGCCATACCCTAAGCGAGAGACGTCAAATTACGATGATTTTTCCTCCTCAAAAAAAAGCACTTGAGAAGAGGTGGCGGGACTTTGCGATTCTGCGGTCCTTGTTTCCGACTTAATTAAATTGGCTAGTGGAACGATGATAAGGCACAGGTCTCCCACCTTTGATAAGGCAAGCCCATGGTCGGACAGTTTTTTTTTGTGAGGGCAAAATCATCAAATTACTTCTCCCGCCCAGGGCGGGGCGGGAGGGAGTGTCAGACTCTTACTGACTAAAAACTCCCCTGTTCCTTCTCCTGCTCTAGGCCGAGGTTGCGGTGCCTCATTGGGCTTACCCCGCCACCCCGGCTGAACATCAGCCCTTTAGGGCCCCGTCTGTGGTGGTCTATTGGCTCTTTGAGGCGCGCGCGGAACGCTACGCGCCGCACGCTCGGGCCTGGTTCTGGTCTGGCGGGCGAGCTGCCCTTACTCGCCGACCGCAGACCCGTGCTTACGGTGGCCGGAGATCGTCCCTCGATCCCCGCGGACAGAGTGAAGTCGCGAGATTGATAATCTTGCTCGCAGGGTGGAAGCAGTTCGTAAGCAGCGAGTGGACCAGTGAGGCAGAATGCTTTGGCAGATGCAAAAGATCTTGGTAGTTTCTTCGGACCTTTAAATTTACCGTTGTAACGCAACGTTGCAATCGTTCAAATTGCTGGTTTGTCTCCCAATAGATTTAGATTACAGTTATATAAAGGGCCTGTGCGCAGTTGGGTTTGGCCCGCCCAAAAAACTGCGGCCCTGACGTACCGTGATTGGTAAAGACATAATGATAATACATGCATAAAACAATAAACATTATTCTATGTTTACCGGTTAAGGTGTCACGTAGCACCATGAGTTTCCTGAAGCTATCGAATTAAAATTGTATAGTAAGTATTCTCACCCAGTTAGACGCACACAACTGGCAGTTTTCCATCCATCTACTAAAATTTCTTATAATTAAAGAATTAAAAAAATTGAAGCATTATCATAGCAAATAGCTTCATGTACAGTTTAGCAGTTGCTACAAATATAGTCCTTGGGCGCCATACCCTGATGAGACTTTAACATGATCAAAATTTACCCACTTGTTACACATCATTCACTCGATGTTTATTATAATTATAACAAAAGTGTACTCATACCTGTTTTTCACAGCCAATCTTAAGTAACGTTCAGCTTCTGTATATTGTTTTCGATTTTTAAGTAAATTCGCCAAATTGTTCATTGCTTGATAATATTGTGGGTATAGCCTGTAATGTTTTAAACCTGTTTAATACTATTTTCTATTTAAATTTTACAATGGTTTGATTGCTTAATCCGACCATCGCAGGGAGCCACTGGATGCAGGTCGCTCAATTTAGAATTCAAAGACCGAATGCCGAATGTATTCTCAGAAGGGGATGTCGTATGTCTAGTCGTAAGTATATATAGTTACACTAGTTAGGTGGGGTTAGTGAAATTTTATACCACATTAACAAATCTTGAGCAAAAGTCACCAAGCCACATATCATTTTACTGAGAAAACTCGCAATTGCTGTTATAGGTACTAACTTAATTTAATATAATGGGTATGATCCCAGAATTGTGTTCAGTATTTAGCATAGCAATGCCTCTTATTACAATAAGATTAACAACATAAGTTTAAGAGTAATATTATTTTATGGAATAGGTCTTTAAACGAGCGGGCTAATGGGAAGCAGTCGTCGCCGCCCATGGACACTTGTAATACCAAAGGATGGATTTTGGGGTTTGGGGGGGGGGGGGTTGCCAGTAACCTCACTCACACAGTAAAATAAAAGCTAAGCGTTACTTTACGTCGGTATTCTGTGAGGCCGTGGTATCACTCCAGTTGAGCCGGCCCATTCGCGCCGTAGCATGGCTTTCCCACACTCCCCACATAAGCTTATAGTAAAAAATAAAATACTTACAATAAAAAAATTACACAAAAGGCATATTTTTACCTTATAGCTTCTTTATATTCAGATATAGCCATATCATATTGTTTATTCGCATCAGCGATCTTCGCAACATTGTAATGAACCTTAGCATTTAAGGGGCAGACTGCCATTCCGCTTATGAAGAGACTGTATTCATTTTGCCAGTCCAGCGATCTACGCCAGCTCCACACACCGTATAGCATCACCACTGACATGAACGAAAACAGAGCAATCTGGTGGAATAAGGACGAAATTCAAGAACAATAATAATAAGAAAATAATTTACTTCAAAACTAAACTTTTTAATAATATTATAACGACTTGCTTGCTTTATTTGTGAAAACTGACGTAAATACATACGATAAGACGAACCATCTATGCCATGTGGTACCAATGATGAAAATATTAAAATCTTTGGTGTGAAGTTTATATAGTTCACGTGGTGCATTATTTCTAAGTTATAAAAAGCAACATAACACAGCGTACCTTGCGGAATTTTGTCGACCTCCTGTCCAAAAGTTTATTGAATCCAACGGCTACCAGGAGACAGTATCCAGCCGATGGTATATACAAAATCCTCTCGGCAATCACGAAGCCAACTGGGTACAAAATATTAGCAGCAGGCAGAAATGGCAACACTACCAGAGATATTGCCAAGAACATTATTCTGAAATATATTTTATTTTAAGTACAATCTTGTAGAAATTCTAGTGGTTGTAATTATCTACTGCAGATGGCGACAATATTTGTATGTATGATTCAGAAATATCCCTTTTATTATGTTTGGAACATGCAATACTTCACTCTACTTAATTATGGAAAGGCAAATGAAATAAAACCAAAAAAAACTTAATAAAAGTGTGAAAATGTCTTAGTTACCTGTTAGTTATCTTCATGTTTCTCCCACTGTACATGGTTTCCAGCGTGTACAAACCATACAGATACATGGTGTATACTAACACAATTCTACTGTCACTCATATTTTCAAGCAGTCGAATGCATCCCATTGACCAATCATAGCACAACCACTGAGGCCACACAAACAACAGAAGATTCAAAAAGTATATGTAGTTGTGTGTGGCTACCTGCAATGAAATCAAAGTAAAGGAGGATATTTAAAGAAGAGTTAAAAACTTAGGTAAACTCATTCAGGAGTATTTGTTGGAAATGGGTGTACTCAAAAAATACAAATTTTATTCACCAAAGGGTTACAATTTTATAAATATAGAACATAGCTTACTTTAGCAAATGCAGTGGGGGCAAATGCTGCAGGGTTGTCAGTTGGCTTAAACTCTGGTTTTGTGTTCCCCATCACAGCCCACCTAGCATACATCAGGGAGAGTATACTAGTAAAGATGGCCATAACCCTGAACATGGAGTCCACCGTGATATTGTCCAGGCTCAGAATCTTAGCAGTCCTACTTTCTATTCTATTTATCTTCAACTTTGTTACTATCTCATAAATTATGCAGAATCCCTGGAAAAATAAAAAATAATTTATAATATGTATGTCATTTTCTTATTGTAATTTATTAAATATTTTTAACTCACCAAAACTGTAATACCATTCTCCTTAAATAACATAGAGATACCAGCTAAAAATACTGTAGATAATAAAAAGAAGTATCCACGCGAGTGTCTAGCTTGCGACTTGCTGTAGCAAAGAATGGCGAGGAAAAATGTTATAGCAGCCAGGATGTCCGCTCTGCCCACTGCACCACACACAGCCTCCACATGGACAGGGTGCACAGTGAACAATAGTGTTGCCAGGAATGCAGTGTTTCTCCACCAATACTTGTTGCTTTCTAAATCCCTGCTTAGTCTTTCATTTTCACTGATAACAACGGACAGGACTTTACGACTTGTAAGAGTTTGAAACACTTTCCACACCAACAAACAACATATAACATGACATACTAAGTTTGTCACTTTAAATTGGTAGGCCGATAGAGTTCTATTGTTCAGGAAGTAATTAAGCCTGAAAACAAATAAATTATAGGGCATATTTCAATATTTTCAAGGCATAAACATAATAAATGATATTAATACACTTACTTAAACGACAAAACAGTCAGGGGCCGGTAAGATTTATGACTTAAATTTGATTTAATTTTTGCACCCCAAAAATCGTTTGTAAATAGTTCAGTCCACGAATCCGAAGTAACATCTTCATTTTTCACAATCGCTTCAGAATCATCGAAAACAAAATCTCCGTCTAAAGTAAACAAAAATGGTAAACACGACAGTGATACGACTGCAATAAATTTAGCCGGCATTTTCTTGGCTGTGCAGCAGTGCACATCAGTTGCGACACGTTTTAAAAATCGATACCGAGGAGTGCTAGATGTTCTAATTTATGATAATGCATATTTTTTTATTTATTCACTGTAATTTTAGTTTATTACAAATATTTGTTTTCGATTTTTTATTAATAATGTAGGTAAATGTCATTTTCGTATTTAATTTCTTTATACGCAGATTTTCTGACATTGACAGTTAGGTACAATGTTTTATTAAAGAATACCATAGATACATAGATAATTATTTATTATAACAGGCAGGTATCCCATTCTCAATCCAGTACAATAACGGGATAATAAATATTAATTTCTCACGGTTCTTTCGGCACATCGACACACGACTGCACGGTTGGCGCGGCGGCTGGGCAACTGGCTGCCGCGCAACGTGTCGCGGGTTCGATTCCCGCACGGAACAACTCTTTGTGTGATCCACAGATTGTTGTTCCGGGTCTGGGTGTGATGTGCATGTGAAATTGTATGTTTGTAAACGCACCCACGACACAGGAGAAAATCCTAATGTGGGGCAACGTTTTTTTTTTTTTTTAAAAGTAAAGTAAAGTAAGTAAGTAAGTAACATACTTTCAAGTACACATAAAACTCATACGTTGATGCGTGACAGACACTGAAAAATCGAGTCAATAGAAGAGCGGTTTTTATACTTCATAGGCGGTAATCTCAAATAAGAGTCATACATAAACTTAATTAATAGATAAGGTATCTTTAACAACTGGTTCTCATAATTTGTCAGAAACCAGTAGGTACCTAACAACACCAATATTCAGAGTGCTAGAGCCAAGCTTCAACACGGCTGGGTCGGCTCGACCACCACATCGTAAAACAACCAACAGCGTTGTGTTTCGCTCCCCCCCCCCCCCCCACATCCCTTCCAATCCTTATATATCCGAAACTCTTATCCCCCAAAGGACTCGCCATTATGGCAGCGGTAAAGCCCTCTTTAAGGAGTCGAGGCGAGTCTTTTGAGAGATGGCGAAAGGGACGCCATGGCGTCCTCACATTCCGCTTGACGCAGTTGCTTACCGAAAATGGAAACTGCAGCTAGCTGTTTCAGATTTAGCGGGAGGAAATTTCCGGATGTCGTCAATGTGAGGACCACCCGGTAGTCATGGTGGAGCATACAGTGGCGGTGTGCCCTGTTAGGGGTTAGCTCTTTCTTCAGCCGGGGTTGCGAATTTAAAAAATGTATTCATCCTACTCGTCGATTTTCTCTGGGTTGTCGTAATGATGTTAACAATGTGTGCAATAACAATACTGAAAAACCACAGAAGTATTGCTCTGTGTTTTTTTGGAATATGAGGTAAATAGACGTATGAAATGAAATGAAGTAGGTAGGTGGAAAAGGCGGACTTAATGCCGCTTGTCATTCTCTACTAGTCATAATTTTAATTTTTATAGCCTTTATTACAATACCTGGGTAGTTTTATAAAATAAATCATAATTTTTTCATAAAATTGTAAGATATTTTTTATTAATTACATTTTACTTAGTTATAGTAACTAAACCTAAACTATTCAGGCTGAGATAAATAGACAGTTAACAGGCAACTTTGTTAAATAAGGAATATGCATGAAAGTACCCTTTTATTATGTTTAGGATTGTATATGTAGTAATATTAAAACCTAAAAACACTTTCATTATTTTATTAAACTAGCTTCCGCCAGCGGCTTCGCAAAACAGCCTATAGCAATAGAACCAAATCGAAGTACTTATACATAAAATTTGTTATTAATCGTCTCATTTTTATGGGTACATCTCCAATGGGTATGGGTTAATACCCTATTACTTTCTAAGTCTCCGCTATCCATCAGTCCGTTCATAGAATGGTACCTACTGATCTAAAGGATAGGTAAGTATATTCAAATATTTCATAAAACATATTATATTATATTTTAAACTTCGTATCGAGCGCGGCAACGGTTACACAAAAATAATCCCTATGGCATGATTCAGTGTTTACATGCGACGGCGCGGCGCGATGGCTTATTATCCGAACTGCTAAGCTATCAGGAGTTATACGTGCTATTGTGAGTTAACCATAAAAGATAGACATAAGCTGTAAAACTTTTTTTTTAGATAATATTATGTAAAATATTTCCGTCATACATAATTTCTATGTGATTTTAACCATTAAGGCTACACACGCGACGGAAACTTAAAAAAGGGAGAAACTTGTCCCATTTTTCCAACATTTCCCTTCACTGCTCTGCTCCTATTATTTGTAGCGTTATGAAAAGTATCCTAAAACCTGCCCGGAAGCATAAAAAATAATTGTACCAAGTTTTGTTAAAATCAGTCGAGTAATTTTTGTTTCTATTAGGAACATACAGACAGACACCAAAATTTTGCTGATTGCATTTTTGGCATCAGTATCGATCTTATTACCCCATGGTAGTTATTTTGAAAATATATTTAATGTACAGAATTGACCTCTCTACATATTAATTATATTAAGTATAGATAAGCTGAGGTAAAATAATTATTAAGATTTTTGGTTACATAGTTATATTATGTGTATTCTGTAAAATGTACCTAGGTACCTTGTTATAATGTAAGTATATACTAATACCTATGCTTAGAATATTACCTTCCTCCATGTGTGAAAGTTACTACGTGGTAGGTACAACGTGTGTGGTGGCCAATTTCATAAATGTCAGCTTTCGGCTTTTTCTAAATTTATTATTAAAAAGTAAGAAATCTTTTTTAAACGAACGACATGACGCGTAAACAGTATGTATAGATAACAATATTGATGACAGATCAAACAATGCTCTAAAATGTTAACAAATGCAATAAGTAGGTACATACGAGTATAACTTATCTATCCACCTTTAAGTGTGGGAGAGCCAAGCTTCGGCATGAATAGGGCAGCTCGGCCGGAGTGATACCACGGCCTCACGAATCGCCACGGTTGCTAAGCGTCACTGAAATAAGCTATAGGTACAGTGAACATTGGCTTCCTTTCCTTCCACCAATAGCATTGCGTTTTGAAAACTTGCGAGGGAGTTTGAGAAATTGGGTTTATTTCGAGGGGAATTGAGATAAAACGTCACACAGAGAACTTGCATATTCCTTATTGTCTATTAATCGCAGGATACTACTAAATATTTTAAAATATTACTTTTTATACAATGGATTTAGGAAATAAGATCGTTTGAAGAGTCTTGAATTTACAACACATAATTACGTGGGTATTAACGCGAAAATGTGAAACCCAGTCTACTTGCGACCACAACCTGTGCAACCAGGTATTTAAATATTTTCGCGTTAATAACCGCGCAATTATATGTTGTAAAGATGAAACTAGAAAGTTTAAAAGAGTCTTCGATTCTTAAAAATCCAGTATTTCATTATTTGCTCTAAACCATTACACGTGTAGGTAGATAATTAATGTGTCATTGGAGTCCCATGGCCTAATGGTGTCAGCACATGTTTGATATCTAGAGCAGTTCTCGGGTCTCGCAGGGCATTTGCAGCATGAGCGAGTTGTAACGCGCAGTCAGCGGGTGCCGTAGGCGGTAAAGCCGTACATTCTCGCTCTAATGCATTTCCGATTGCTGTCAATAATTCTGAGAATCCAAGGGAAATGGCAGCTCTTCGGAGTCTGTTCAATTCCTGTGAAGGAAGAGATGTATTTTAATATTTTCAGGGATACATGTTAATATTTTTGAGTAAAGTATAATTTCAATAAAATATAGGTACCTTGAAAAGATGTTGTGTCTTATCAGGTAATTTTCTTGCATGTCGTAGAACTTTTTGTACGTCAGCGAGCAGTGCGTGTGGACGTGCCCAGGCGCATGCAGATCCACTACTGCTATACGAACGCCAGGATCTTATGGGGAATGTTTCAGCTGCAAATAAGTATAAGGTACGCAAGTGTGACCATGTGTGTTCCAGTTCAAGTTGTTATCTGTTTCAGAATCCGTATTTTTGTTTACACATGACAGGAAAAAAGGCTTCTGCTACTTAATATAGTTATAAAATATGAATGCTTACTGGAAGTGGTGCCTTCTTCAGCTGGTCCAAGCTGATCGAGGGCACCGAGCCAAGGAGCGGCGGACGCTCCCGGCTTCATGACGCTGAGCAGCAAACACGAACGACGACCACGTGAAGCTTCACACGAAGCTGTAAGAGTTCCCCACCAGTCAGCGCCAAGCAAAACTACCGCTGCCATTCCTTCAACCTAAATTATGTATAAAGAATAAATGAGTAAATCAATCATCATTGATCAATAATATTAAAGTATTATGTCATATGACATACTTTGATAATGATGATGTATATTATATGGGTAGAAAATCTCAACTTATATTAAAAGTATATTCTTAGAATATTTTTTATAAACACGAGTATAGCACATACGAAAATTCAGCCAGTTTTATAAATTAAACATTAATTATCTATAAGCCAAAATACATGTTGAAATATTATTTTAATCCCCGAGATGAACTAATATTCTGTAAAATATCTTCTGAAATCATACCTTTAGAGCTCCATGAAGCAGAACGCAAAAGTTGGGAACTTTACTGGGATCAGACATGTCTTCCTCTGTCGCAGAACCATCTGTACTGGACCCTTCCTGTAATACAATTAAAAATTATTGGATAATTACTGCAACTAAAACTAATAAACCTATTTTTTTGCAAAACTCTAGTTATGGGATCTGTAGAACCACAAAAATATCATTAGTGTAAGAGGATAAGATGACAGGTGTATTTGTTTTTTAAGGAACAAAAGAGTGGGAGAACTCTTTTGTTTTCTCCTGTTTGAACATACACATTACACCCAGATATGGATTTAATTTGATGTAATTTGTGGATCACCCAGAGTGGCTTCATGCTTCAATCAGACCCTCGTAACGCGCGGCAGCCAGTTCACCAGCCACCGTGTCAACTGTGGAGTGTATTAGGGTGAGAGGTTAAAATTACCTTGGTAGGAGTTTTGGAGCCATAGTTTTCCCTCGGCGCCGGAGTAGTTCCTGGTTGAGCTTGCGGTATTACTAGGTGTTTACTTAACGCTATTGGGGTACCTGTGTGATAGGGAGAGAATTAAAATAGTAATTTTGAAAGGAATTAAATAGTTGAGGATGGGTAAAAAATGGTCAACACACTAAAAAACAGCAGCTATAGCTTATAGCTGCTGTTTTAGTTGTTGCCCATCACACTTACTAAGCTCCTGTTGTTGTAGGAAGCCAATGACGTGTATTTGATTAGCCAGCGTGTAAGTGGCAGCTAATTCCTCAAGTGTAATAGTTTGTGGCGCTGGGAACAATTGCACGCGCGCCTCCAACTGACCACACTTCAGGGTGCACCAGAATTCTTGATAGTGTTGTTCACACAGCCTTGTCATCGCTGTTATTACCTGTGCATAATTAATAGTTTACTGAAAATGCCATGTTTTATACCATCTACTTTTAGCTATATACATAGTCTGGCCATAAATGCTGTTACAATTAAAAATAAACAAAATATTACATTTGAATTTGGAATCTGTCATTTTTATATAATTTTTCATTGTTTTCTTATTTTGGCGCCAATAAATTGTTCAATATTTTGCGATATTAAAATGGAGTGGGGTGATAAAGATGACCGAATCGCTGTGATTGCATTACACAAAGTGGGTATGGAGCCAAATGCAATTTTTAAAACTCTCCACACACTTGGCATTAATCAACTGTTTGTGTACCGGGCTATTAATAGGTAGGTACAATGAGACCTCCTCTATTTGTGACAGAAAAAGATCTGGGCGTCCACGTAGTGTTCGTACGTAAAAGGTGGTCAAAGCAGTAAGGGAAAGAATTCAAAGAAATTCTGTCCGAAAGCAAAAGATTTTATCTCGGGAGATGAAGATAGCACCTAGAACCATGTAGCGTATTTTAAAAGACGACTTAGGACTTGCAGCCTAATAGAGACGAACTGGACATTTTTAAATGATAATTTAAAAAAGAATAGGGTGATAAAATCTAAACAACTACTGAAGCGGTACGCAAAGGGAGGTCACAGAAAAATTTTGTTTACGGATGAGAATTTTTTTACAATTGAGCAACATTTTAACAAACAAAATGACTGTATTTATGCTCAAAGCTCTAAGGAAGCTTCTCAATTAGTCGACAAAGTGCAACGTGGGCATTATCCGACTTCAGTGATGGTTTGGTGGGGTGTTAGCTATGAAGGAGTGACTGAGCCATACTTTTGCGAAAAAGGTATCAAAACATCGGCACAAGTGTATCAAAATACCATTCTTGAGAAGGTAGTTAAGCACCTTAACAACACCATGTTCAATAACCAACAATGGTCCTTCCAGCAAGACTCGGCGCCGGGTCATAAAGCTCGGTCTACGCAGTCTTGGTTGGAAACGAACGTTTCCGACTTCATCAGAGCTGAAGACTGGCCGTCGTCTAGTCCCGATCTTAATCCGCTGGATTATAATTTATGGTCAGTTTTAGAGAGTAGGGCTTGCTCTAAACGTCATGATAATTCGGAATCCCTAAAACAATCCATACGATTGGCAGTGAAGAATTTTCCCATGGAAAGAGTGCGTGCTTCTATTGATAACTGGCCTCAACGTTTAAAGGACTGTATTGCAGCTAATGGAGACCACTTCGAATAAGTGTTTTATGTTTTAAATTGTTTTATATTTATGTATTAAACTTACATACTGTAAAAGTAATAAATGTTATTTGCAATAGAAAAAATATTTTTTTATTTGTTACAGTATTTATGGCTGGACTATGTATACTGTTATGTTACTTTTTTAAGTTTACCACCGTGTTTCATTCCAATTTCAATAATTACTGGGCCACTAAAAAGGCGCTTGTCCTTTTTAGTGGCCCAGTAATTATTGGGAAATAAACTTACAACATAGAATATGAGAATATATATATATGGAGAGCTACTAATGCTTGTAATTTTGTAGTTTTAATTTATACTAGCATAAGTATTGCGCTTATGCTAGATTCCTTCACTATTTAATGGATGTTATGCATATAACCTACCTCTTCAATCACAATATCTATAAAATACGCATCAAAATCCATTGAATATGTTTTAAGAATTTAAGTATATAGTATCCATGGGCGGCACTGATTGGTTACCATCAGTTAATCTGTCTGCTTGTTCGCTGTCCTATAGCTAACATAAAAAGAAGGGACAGAGATAATGAATTTCTTTTATACTCATATGTGGTGATTCTTTCCTGTCTATACTTACACCAGGCACAGAAAGCTGGTCAGGGCAGTAGATAGTACCACGGGACATATTACCATTGGAGTTGCTGGTTGTGTTATTTGCTAGGTCCACTATTTTCTGGTATAGCGGCATTGCTGAAACAGTTGTTTTTATAATAGTTAGTTTGAAACTTACTTAAGTATTACTTTACTTCACATAATTAAGCTTATGACTGCTATCTATAAAACCTGCCTATCAGGACTGGTAAGTGTAAGTTAACCAAAAATGGGAACTTTCACCCAGGTCTTTTTTAATAATTAATTGTCAACTCACTTCAAAACTTTTAGATATATATAGTATATATATATGGGTTGCACATAGACTACAATTTAAGCACCACCCAAAGACTCCATGGACATCTTCTGAACTAGAACAAATCCGGGGAAACCCAAATGGATGGCAACCCTACAGGAGTTATGTGGTATGTAGATTATAAAAATTATATTCAATAATAAAATTGATCTTTTACATCATGGTTATCCAGAAGCTATGATACAGTTACTGTATTCTCCCAAAATGTTCTCACCATGTTGTAGACAAGGATCATGAGGGGACACAATGGGCAATATGTGTATTTTTGCTGGATAAGACGGAGGCAATGGCAGAGCTTGTACCATCCGGTTTCTGCCAATAGCACCCACACCACTGCTTCCATCTGTTATCTGAAACATAAAAACAGTTGTATGATCCCATCTTATTTGTAATTTTATGTAAATAAAATTGAAATACAATTTGCATTATAGATTGAATTGGACTACATGCCCATTCAATCCAATGTATTAAGTAACATCATAAGTTAAATATTTTGTGTAAATCTGAATCTGAATCAAAATAAATAAATATCCATTTAATTCACAGTCTTACCAATATTATTTGCACAGGGGTTTGACATCCACCCCATTCATTTAGCACCAGCTGGTTTACACCAAGCAGAGCAGTGTCTATGCAGGTTTTGTCTCCTTCCTCTAAAGTCAACAATTTGCTGCGTATACTGTCAAAATCCCGAGTAAAAGGAACTGAAACTGAAATAGAAAACCAACATTAGGCTTCTAAAGTCTGTGTAAATAATTACAAAGTAATTTGTTTATAAATCAACTTACCTTCGTAAACGGAAGAAAATGAGACCAGAGCAACATATTCTAATTTAGCGTGAATACTTAAATAATCTAAAAACGTGTTCACTGCTGCAGTCGCTATCGTGTGCCGGGTATGTGTCTCGGTTGTGTCGGGAGTCGGGACAGGCCGCGACATTGATAGCGAGACGTCCATTAATATCACCGTAGGCATTATGTCCTATTAAAATATTACAATTAACACACAAAAATAGAGATAGTACATAGTTTGTTTTGGCACAATTTAGTCAACAGCGTTAACTCAAAGAGTATGTAACCACTACGTTTAAGAGACGGGACTCCCATACAAGCCAGTGGAATCAATTTACACGGCACTCTAATACCTACATTGCAATAAATAAAAGATGTCAGCCGTCAAAATCAATAGTACCAACCTAAAAGACCAAATAGTTCTGTGGTAGCTGTATACTAGGTTTAGTATCGATATCGATAATAATTATAGGGTAGAAATCGAGGTCATATTACTTTATTAATTTTTAGTTTCGATTTTTAAGATAAAGTTCGGATTTGAAATAAAACATTGTGTTATATTAAAAACTAAAAAATATATTTTTGTAATAATATTCAAATTCATATTATATACGGACGGTGTGTTAAGGACCTAACTAAAATTATTTAAATTAAGTGGACTCTATACTTAATACATATATTGGTTCAGTAAATTGGTTCTATGGGCACATACACTAAATCTTCTTTGCCAACAACTTTCACCCACTGCCGGCACCTGAAAAATGGAAAAATTCAAAATGGACAGTCCCTGACGAATACAGTATACATAAATTTTTATCTACGTTTAATCATTAATTTCTTAAAATCTACTGGGTTTGTCGTGTCACAACTTTGTTCAACAACATCTAATAACATCATTACTTCTTTGGTGTGGTCTGGAAAGTAAATCACGAAAGAATAAATAAATCAAGGGATCTTTGGAGTTTAGCCCACACATAAGTCTGTGACTATCGATACTTGAGGTACATCACTAGTACACAATAAGTACATGAAAATCAATTTACATGTATTTGTAGCCTTTTATACTTAGAATGAAATAAAATTATATCATTTAATGCTTACCGGTCCTCATCCAAAGGAAATTTCGCCATAAACATCCTTTTCTCGCCATTTTTACGACCGGATCGTCCTCCGCAGATTTCACAAGTTAGAAACCGTTTTTTTGGTGGCATTTTACTTGAACACGTAACTAGTCACAGCCGTATCACTAACCACTAATTAACTAAACAAATTATACGTAAATTTATGAAATTATGAAAATAACAACATAAACTTACAAAAGCAACGACATTCAAAGTTCAAAACTTCAAACAAAATGGCCGACGGATTAGTGAAAGAAAGAGAACTGTACTGAGGGAGTGGGATGGCAATATCCGGCTACTTCCGTGTGCCATTATTTGCCGTGCCAAGCCCATACATTTTTATTTTTCTTCTAAGTTGCGCTAGGCTGCGTTAACTTACACTGACATTTGATGGTGGTGACAATGTTTATATTAATAACATTCCAGTTTAGGTGTACCTGAAAATATAGGTTTGGAATCCCATTTACATGAGAGGGATATAGAAAAAGTCATGCTAAAGATATTATTATGTTACTTCTTGAACTGGAACTAAATTACAATCACGTCATTTGTCAAATTTGAAACTTGATATTGACATTTGGACTTTATAAAACCTCAGCTTGGATAAGAGTAAATTAATCCACCTTTTTTTAAAATGAATGAACGCCTTCTCCGGATTGGTTCAAGAGGCAGTATCAGACTCTTAGTTAATTAACATCACGCCATTCTTTCTTAGATCGGAGCCCAGCCGCCCAGCAACATCGAAGAATGTACATCGGCCCTATTTGGGTTTGGGTCCCATCAGTCTACCACCTATTTATTATTATATACACGCGCAGTACACTACGCACTGCGAGATAGCTTTCAGCGGCGGCTGGGATGTGAGGAGTATAGTTCAGTTCCTCTAGCTCTCTATCATGGCCTGAACCAAAATCGGGCCAAAGAAAGGCAAAATTACAAAGTCATTTGTTTATAATTCAACTTATCTACGTAAACGGACGAAAATGAGACCAAATAATTATAATTAAAGCACTACAGTCTTGGCTAACAGCTTTATTTATTTATTTGAATACTACGGTACACAACCTTACTTAATAATTTTATGTGTGATTAAGAAGGAAGTGTGAAGGCTATAAGTAAGAGGACAGGAGGTATCTAAGAGGACAGCACCCCATCCTTTTACTGTCGGTGGTCTATAGTTTTATATGTAAAAGTGTAACTATTCCATTGTATTTACTACAGCACCTTTTACGCAATAAAGTAATAATTAATATTTAATTTTGTATGTCTTTACTAATCTCGGGACCACAGGGTCCCGGTCATTTGGGAGACGAACGAGGGGCCGGAGCCAACAGAGCAAAGGCCCTTTAGACAACTTTGATTTAAGTGAAATGGGACACAAACCGACTGATCCCGTATGCACCATAGAATTACACTCAAGGATAGCCCATGTTTAGTGTAAGACTATTGATGATAATGGAAACAAGGGACAAGGATTTGGGTGTGGGTTGTGCTGGTATGATAGAAGAAACTATGGAAAGACTATGGCGCCTGCCAAAACAACGTATTTTTTACACGTAAAAATGGTAGGTGGAGACTCGCTTACTCACCAACCGGGCTGCTGGGAATGGTTGCTAGTAAAAGGTACAGAGTGACAAAAATGTGAGTGGCTGAAGGGTGAAGAAATTGCCACCAACTTTTTAAATTCTACTCAGATCATCTGCATCTGCCTAACCATCCTGCATGCATCACTGGCCTACTCGCCGCTTACGAACAGGTTCCATCATCCGAGCAGGATCACTACTCTCGCGACAATGGATGCAAGCCAGAGGTGGAGACCTATTCCTCGTGATCGTTCACAACGGCCAACCAATAAAGGCCGACGATAAAGAACGTTGACTTCTCCCTGGAGCTCTAGGGATGACGGTAGCCCGCGGGATCACTAATTCCCGTCCCTTCGCCGCAATATGCCCTGTGGGCTTATCATTGTTTGTTCTTTTCTTTAACGAGATCACAGGATCCCGGACCTTTGGAATGCGTACGAGGGGCCGAAGCCAACTCGCAGAGGCCCTTTGAACAGTTTAAATTTAAAAGTGATGGGACATAAGCCGGCAATTATTCCTGTATGCACTATAAAAGTGCCCCCAAGGACAATCCCAATATGGTAGAAAATTATATAATTATACGTGTGGGTGGCTATGGACTGGTAGATGATAACTATGGAAATACAATGGCCGCTGCACCTGACCAATATTGATACATACCTACGAATAAACAGGCAGGGAGTGCCTGCAAACTCAATTAATGGGCCCCCGGAAACGAAAGCGACACGGGGGCAACAAACGTTGACCTGATTGGGAAAGGAGAGGCATCCCACGGCCAGTGCAATCTCGGAGTACGGTTAAGACTCCTACCAGCATCTTACTGAGATACATCCTTCCCCCGAGTCTCCTTCAACTCCTACTCTTGCAAATCACCACCCAAGCCAGCCAATTAATACCTTCATTTAGAATGAGGTAGGAGGGCTTGTTCCTTATCAGTGTTTGCTTCAGCTAGTTACGAGGACTAATCGAAGATAAAGAACAAGACACCTCCCGGGAGTCTGGTCCATAGGGTCGCCACTGCCCAACAGCTCGCTACAAGCTGCCTTGTCTTTTATTATTATTATTTCCCGTCCGCAACCGATCAAGAACATTTTAGAGTACGAGTAAGGGTATTAACTACCCCGCGCGTTTAAACATTGATTTTATACTTATCTTGTGTTAGGAAGACAGTTGAGTACAATGCGATAGATTCCTCGGCTATTTTAACAAAGCCAACCCGATTTGTTATCTATAAAATTAGGTAAGCAATGGACATACGATAGAAAACATGGGAGAAAATACAGACAACAATAAAATAATTGACAACACTCTCCAAGATGAAAACTTCGAGTTTAAATACAATTTTCTTAATTTGCCATGGGATGACCGCACGAATAAAAGTAAAGCTGGAATTGTCACTCTGCTGATCGCTATATTTGTAGCAACAATGGCTTTGGTTGTAAATAGTTTCATACTGCATTATCGAGATTTCCAGCACATTAGGAAATACTCAAATCTTAGTGAATCGTGCTTCCGAGTCAAAATAGATGACTACCGTTTCGTAGCAAGAATTTATTCTGTGGCTACGCAGCAAGTGTTATGTATCGGTGCAGTTTTGAGCAAGAGTTCAGTCCTCGTCAATGGAGTATGTGTGAAGTCTGGACCTATACGAATGTATTTAGGCAGCATGGCAAAGTAATAAAAAAATAAGTATAAGTATTCGATTGCTGGAAAGTATAAAAATGATGATGATTAACCGACCTTTTTCATTTTCAGCCCGCGTTGCAAGAAAGGCTTTTCGATCGACTTCTTCGAATCGATGCATCACGATGGAGTGTTTTCAAAAAGGCTAGTGCTCTTATCCAGTTATGAAAGTATACAGGGGTGCTCAGAAACGATAAAAATCGGGAGCAGTTTGGACTGGACGCAAAAGGTTTACATCCTCGGGCGACCACGCTCTGTTGGTAGAACTTTATCGCGACAGCATGTATCTCTGGCTGGCAAAGAGTTCGTAGATACGAATACAAATAAGCATTTGTGGTCGAATTATACCATATGTGTCAAGGACCTGGCTCCATGTCCAATTCGTGCTGGTGATCTGATGCTGCAGAACGGGAAATTATTTGGCCTTGCATCTACTAGCGTCCAGCGCTTCGGAATAGCGTGTTTTGGTAATCTAAGTCTTGTTAGCCGACAATTAAAGGAGGTAGATGCAGATATTGTTATAGATTAGTATAAAATTTCATCAAAATATTATGAAAATTGATACTTTTTAAGTTTTAGACCTCAGGTTAAATTTATTGGTTACGTTTTGTTTTTAGTATGTTTGATTTAACTACATTTAACTATCATAATATGAGTATACAGTATTAAATGAAATTAGAAATGTTTAAGTCAAATTATTTATTTTGGCATATTGTAAGTACGTGGTAAGTACTTATCTGTCTATTATTTATTCGTGTCTGCGTAAGTGTCCATGTTTTCGACGGTAAACGTGAGACGGTACTTGGACAGTGCCTAAATCCACCTCTTCTGGGCTGGTGTATCCTTTCCAGTCTTTAGTAGCTAAATATATGATGAACACGACGATGAACGTGAGTGCGGTGTACACCAGCAAAGTGTGACTTTGGTTATATTTAAACAAGCCCGCGGTGTCTAGAGTAACCTTGATGTTGTTCCGGCCTCGAACTTTATTCGGCATAACGTTTGTGACGGACTTGAGAGAAGGCTCTGAAAAATAATGTCGTGGTGGTTAAAAGGAATTCCTTCTTTTTTATCGGAAACGGACATCCTGATTGTAAGTTAGCGTCGCAAAAAACAGAGCAAAACAACGCAAATTTTATTGTTTTTTTAACTAACAATTTATGCTATGTGGGTAAGGTGTTTTTTTGCTAAGTTACTTCTTCAGAAAGAAAAGCAGACAGACAAAAAAGTTGCGTTGCATCTTTCGTTACTGTAAACAAAAATCCCTTTTCATGTCTCCATTAAATTACTAAACTAAAAAGTACCATCGGAAGTATTTGCGGCCATCGCTGAAAATCAGCGCCGCGAACCCGTCTCGTACGGGGTCGCTGCATTATGCTGAGCGTGGGCCATTTCGCGTGCTTGGACGCATATTTTTCTCCTACCGTCTACTTTTGTGATATTGTTTTTACCTTGCTCAATGTATTTTTATTTTAATTTTATTTTATTATCTTGTTCGTTTTGTGTCTTTTATGCGTCCCAGACGCGAATAAATACTTTTTCTTTCTTTCTTTCTTCTTTCTATTTTTGTACAGTTATTTATGGCGTGGTTCCTATGCATAGGTCAGTTATTATGGAGACACGAGCGGTAAATCTAGTGACTTTATTATTTGAAGATCCTAAGTTACCAACAATTACCTTTGGGATCGATATTAAAATATTAATGAACTGTAAATTGGGTTGTCAGTCTAGTTAGGGTTAGGTGGATGCGGCAGCAGTGACGTGCGTCCAATTTACCCTATCTGATAGTGGGCTGACGAAAATTATAATAACCCATTAAGTGCACGTCACACGCACGATTGGATGTCACCAGCTAACAGTGATTTTCCGGAGAGTAGTCGCGACATAACAACTCATGTCGCTGGCGCACATGGCGGTCACAATTAAAATGTTAATTTGTCTCTCGCACATTGACACGCATCACGGTTTTATTGGGACACGCTCTATTGACTGGCAATATTAAAACATTACGCACTGAGTTAATTTTTTAATAGCACTATTGCATATATTGTTGACGACTAAATGTGCTTACAGCTACGTAGAAAAATAAATCGGTTTTATTATACCTACCTTTGAATCCAAAGGTCGTAATTTTAAAAGTAAGTAGGTACTTAGTGCTTAGATTACATGACGGTTAAGGGCGTAGGGTGTTCTACCGAACAATTGAAATTGTAAAAAGAAAGGCTTATATTGTCCTTGTTTACTCTAGCATACAAATTGTTTTTACAAAAAAGTTTAAAAATGGGGTGAGGTTCTTTTAATATTTTGATGGATCTTTTACATTATACCTATGTATCATTACGATCGTTATTTCTACGTAGCCTTAAAATATTTATCAGTTGGTACTGTTAATACAACAAGTTAATACGGCATTGATATGCTATTATGATGATATCTAAGTTATCAAGCCTTTGTAACAGTTACACAGTCAAATATTGTAATTCATGACGACCTTTTAAATCTATCTAATTGCACAATATATAATACATAGGTATTCTTTAAAGCGGAGGTAACATTTATTTGTTATGTAGGTATATATGTTCTTCACAAACAGGGCCCTATAGAGCTGATGTTCAGCCGGGGTTGTGGGGTATCTAAGCGCAATGAGGCACCGCGGCCTCGGCCCAGAACAGGAGAAGGAACGGGGTAGTTTTTAGTCAGTAAGAGTCTGACACTGTCATTTGATGATTTAATTTTTACCCCCACAAAAAAGGTTTAATGTGTTCTTGTTTTTAAGATTACAGTCATAAGATTGTGTCACGTTTATAACGGGCTTTGCACATAGTACAGCTTAAGTTTTCACGGTTACTGTAATTCGAAACTCAAGTTGCTCTGTGTGCTTGTGTTTTCCAGTTGAATTACTTTGTAACCCAAGTTGCCAGTTGCAATAGTTTTATTTAATTTTATTGAGTTCTGGATACACGCATTTGGCCACTATCACGCCTGGTGGTAATTAATGATGCGACTTACGATCGAGCACGACCATGGCCTACGGCTTTAAAGACACCCAGGTTACATCCTCCGGGGAACACAGACTTTAGCAAAGAATACCACTCCTTAGTGGTAATAAAATTGAAAAATGCATATTTATAATTTGTCTCCATATATCCAGGTGCCTTATTTTATATATTCAAATGCACACTTCCCGTCAATTGTAACAAAAGTGATATTGTTTGTAATGGCCTTGGAACTGCACGATAAGGATTTTGAAAGTTGTAATCGAAACATCCAAAAATTAAGCTGTAGTTTGGCAAGTGAGCTTCATCGTCGCCTTATGATAACAATCGCCGTCGCTCATGTAGGCAACATAGAGGAGTTACGTTGGGTCTGACAAAGATTTGACCTAAAGTAAGATCAGACGCACAGCGAAACAAAAACAAGCGTTTGCAATTTACTCACTCGAGGATGGAATCCAAGGCTCCATCCAACACTCTCATTGGCGACCTATGGACTGATAGGGAGCCATAAAATCCGATAAAACTAAAATTAAACTCCAATAGCTACTTTAGACAGCCGTGTGTTGTGTGTGCATACATTGTAGTTTACAACTTAATCATTGTAGACTGCACGGTTGGTGCGGTGGCTGGGCAACTGTCTGCCGTGCAACGTGTCGCGGGATCGATTCCCGCACGGAACAACTCTTTGTCTGATCCACAAATTGTTGTTCCGGGTCACCCAGACCCGTGTCATGTGTATGTGAAATTGTATGTTTGTAACCGCACCCACGACACAGGAGAAAATCCTAATGCCCCACATTAGGATTTTCTCCAACGTTTCTTCAACGTTTTTTTTTGAATAATACAATAAAAAATAAATAAATTGTACCTATCTACCTATTTTTTTACCAGAATAATAAGTAGCCTTAATAATCTCAATCACAACTAAGATAAAACTAGTTAGTATTTAGTACAACAATTTATAATCCGACCAGAACTTTAATCCCAGCAATAAACCTTATAAGTAAGATCTTTCTAAGCCATACAATGACAAGTCCGATAGAAGCCTGCACTTGCATCCTCACTGTATCCTCAAGTGATGTGGATTTGGAGCAATGAGCATGCTTTTTTTATCTTGATGCTAAAAGTTACATTTATTACAAACTTCCATGACTTCAACTAGGAGTTAATTTGTTTTTTACGTGGGACGTTTTTCATGAATTACAAATGGCCGCGTCGTAATCCTAGTCAATCATTGTGAATTAAAAAACAAAATTGCCTATCTTGAGCGCTTTACTTCGCGTCTAAAAGCGGTTTAATATCGTGATTATTTATTCGTTTAAATTGATATCATTTTAGTTGTTAGTTCGGTATAGTTAAGTGTAATTATTAAATTTGGTACTTGTTCATTTCCATTAACATTGGAAGGCGTACGAGGGGCCGAAACCAACCTGCAGAACCCTTTGAACAACTTTAATTTTAGTAAAATGGGAACTAAGTATTAATTTCCATTATTAGTTTCGTATTTACTTATTTAGGTACTTGGTTTTTACACACGTACACAGGGTACGTATTATTGACTGCATGTGAACACGGATTTATAGGTATATACATAACATTTTACTCACAGAGCAGAAATTGGCCTACACGCCTAAACAGGAATATTACGTATAGAAACAAAGTAATATATATGTCTATGTATAGAAAATTTTGTGTACGAGTAAGTAGATAATAATTTGATTGTGAACCTAACGTAACACCGTGGAGCGATCCAAAGAAACTTGGCATAGATATACCTAGATTGAAGTCTAGAATAACACATCCGCTACTTTTTGCAGAGCCACTGGCATAAGCTAGTTAATAATTGGCTTAGTCAGTTAAATAATTGGGTGTAGTTAGTCAAAGTAAAAGCATAGTAAGGTACCTTCATACACAATAATTATTGACTTATTTTTTATCTGTTGTAATGCCACTGTTGTGTTTGCTGGTGCACAATTCGTAATTCCAAAATATTTGTTAAACTTATTACATTTTATTTCAATATTAATAATTGTTCATATTTCATTGTTAAGTTTCTGTGTTAGAAATATTTATTTATTTGTCAAAGTGACATTTTGGAATGCATAGCTTCTGGTGAAGCATGAAATATTTTTTTAAATGAGGTTATACATTTTTCCTATTGTGATCAAACTGTCGAACTCAAATGAGGTTACATTGTAATTGGAATAGAGGACCAAACTAAGCTATTAGATGGTGATTCTACAGACCTGCAACTAAATCTATGGATGATTCTCCAAAAAAAAATTTTTTTTTAATTGTCTTCCAAATAGTATGAAGTTTCTTTAACATATCATTTTCATTCCAGGTTGTTAAGCATCTTATTTATAGTAAGTTGTTATTCAATATTTTTTATCGATTGCTTGTATGCAGTGGTGCGATTTAATTTAAGATCATTAATTTTTTTTTAATTGATGTGAAGAATCACCCTGTGCTATTACAAAATAAATAAATACTTACCTACACAAAAATCAAAACAAACATTTCAAGTTAAAAT